AATAAGGTCACTTTCCAGCAAGGAAAGCAGCAGTTTGTGTTAAAAATAAAAACGGGGAATTGTGGACTGCATCTATTCATGATGGAAGGTGGAGAAGAACTGTGCTGCTCTGCGGCGGTGCATGGGGACCACTGCAGCTCTGCAGGGAGCACTCGTGGGTGCTCATCTCATTGCCTTTGAGTAGAGCCTCCTTCACCCTTCCTCAATAATTAAAGGAGGGAAGCTTAAAAATAGTGCTGTGATCCACGATGTGCAGCAGGATGACTGAAGGAGAGAGAAGGGAACGAGGTGTCCTCTGTGTCCTCATATCCTACCATGGTGGGGGTTATAAGGTTAGGGATATAAGGTTAGGGTTGTAGGGTTAGGGTAAGGGGTATAGGGTTAGGATTGGGCTTATAGAGTTAGGGTGACGGTTAGGGTTATAGGCTTAGGGTTGGGGTTATAGGGTCAGGGTAAGGCTTAGCATTATAGTGTTAGGTTTTGGATAAGTGTTGCGGGGTTAGGGTAAGGATTAGGGTTATGGCGTTAGGTTTAGGGTAAGTGTTACATGGTTAGGATAAGGGTTAGGCATATAGGGTTAGGTTTATAGGGTTAGGGAAGGGTAAGGGTTGTAGGGTTAGGGTAAATGTTAGGGTTATAGGGTTAAGTTTATGTTTAGGGCTAGGGTTATAGGGTTAGAATTATTGGGTTAGGATTAGGTTTAGGGTAAGGATTAGGGTTATAGTGTTAGGTTTAGGGTAAGGCTTATAGAGTTAGATTAGGTTTAGGGTTTAGGGTTAGATTTATAGCATTAGGGTTGTAGGGTTAGGTTTAGGGTAAGGCTTATAGAGTTAGATTTAGGGTAAGGGTTAGGTTTATAGGGTTAGGGTAGTTTTATAGAGTTAGTGTTAGGTTAAGGGTTGTAGGGTTAGGGTTACAGGGTTAGGGTTACAGAGTTAGGGTTAGATTACGGGTTATTGGGTTAGGGTGAAGTGTGAGAGTGCACCTAGAAATACTGCTGCCTTGGGAGGTTTGGGGGAACAGAGCTCATTCCTGGGGCACCTGGCACTGCCTGCTGGGGCTGTAGCTTGGCTCAGCCATGTGATATAACCAGGGGAAGGCATCATGAACTGCGTGGCTGCAGTCCAGCACTCAGCATTAGAGCTAAGGACACCGGGAGGCAAGCGTGGATTACATGGGAGCGACGGGATCAAGTGAGCAGCAGGCTGAGCTTGGGGAGGGAGGTGGCGGAGGGGTTGTGTCTGTCCTCACCCCCCCTACCTTTTCTGGAGCAATGCCATGCATGTCTGAAGCAGTGGAGAGCATCCCAGGGCAGGAGGCTGCTGTGCAGCTGATAAGAACCTCACCCAGGAGAGTCGTGCTCGACCCATGCTGGGCTGGTGCAGGTCAAACTGGCTGAGTGATGGGAAGCAACCTGGCCTTTATATCAGGGCTGGGCATGCAGGCAGGAATTGCAGGCTCTGAGGAGGGTCTGAGTCGTGCTGTGTGTGGGAATGGAGATTTATGTGAGCAGTGAGGGCCTGGGTGTAGCAAGGCAGAGGCCTGACCCACATCTTTGCTTTCTCCTGCAGAGCTGCTCTGGATCTCGAAGTCTGATTCAGCACAGCATTAATGCATGCAACTTTGGGGAGTTCCTTGGAACTGGGCTGCTCCCAATCGATAGCAACTCCTACACAATGAGGCTGTGCTCCTGCTGCAGCCTTGTTCTGCTGCCTGCCTACATTACCCCATGCACCAGGGAATGGAGAGCAGGGCTGCAATCTCATGCTTCAGAAGCAAAAGGTGAGAATTAGTTAATGCAAAATTGCAAGACGCTTCGTAGATTTAGTTCTGAGAGAGCTGTTTTCACAGCCTGGTTTAGCTGATAAGCTGCACACTGGGTTTAACCCTCGGGGTGCTAAGAGATGCTCTCAATAATAAAATCCAAAGAAGTGGGAACAGCTTCTTGCTGCACTGCTTCTGTCCTGCTTGGAAACCTCTTCCAGGTTTCCAAGGGAAGGGAAGGGAATCAGAGTTCATTGCAACCTGCGGCTGAGCCCTCACAGAGCTCATTGCATCTCACACCCAACCCCTTGCAAAGCTTTGTGCTCATGCCTTTGTTTCCCCACCGTGCCCTTAGGACCCAGCAGAGCTGCACCTTCGGCTCAGCACATGCGAAGCGCAGATGTAAAGGCTGAGGGACTGGCCCAGGGCCGAGCAGGGAGGGAAGAACACCATGAGCCTGGCTCCAGCTTTTAGAGCTGGGGCTGTGAGCTCGCACTTCAAACACAAAACAGCCTCCCTTCGCCTCCAGCGCTTCTGAGCCACATTTGAGGGTTGGTTTAGATAGGATGCAGGCACAGACCTGGAAGCAAAATGTTTTCATGCTCCCCTGCAAGTCCCAGTATGGGGCAGAGAAAGCCTCACCTCCCCCATCCCATCACCCCCTTTGCATTTAGGGAACCCCCTCCCAGCAGGGCTGTGCACATTGTGATGGGGGGGGGGGGGGAATGTTTGGTGGAAACCCCCCCCTTCGGGTCTCCCTGCTGCTGGGGTGTGCACAGCTGGAGCCCCAGCAGGGCCCTGCCGCTTTAAAGCTGCCTCTCCCATGTGCTGTCTGGTTGTGCTGGAGACGGTGACGCAGGCAGGACGTCAATGGAGGCTGTGGGAGAATTTAGCCTGGGAGAGGAAGGGGGGCAGGGAGGGAGGAGCGGGATGGGCTGGTGGCCCCTGGCTCCAACCTCACAGGGCCACTGAGCATCCCCAGTGCCCCGCCAGCTCTGCTGCCCTCCTGCCAGCTGTGAGGGCAAATAATCCGCTCCAGATTGCTGTCGTTGGCCACGTGAAAGCAATGCTTCCTTCCCCCCCCTCCCCTGAACCCCAGTCCAAGCTGTCACCGCACGTGTGCCACCCTTGCGGAGCTGAATGTGACCCCAGGCTGCATCCATGCTGCTCATCCCCATCCCCAATGTGCTGTGCCACCCTGAGGTTGCACCCTGGGGGACACACATGCATTGCTGCACCCTGGGGACACCCATGTCCCCCTTCCTTGCTTTGGGCTCTGCAGCATCCTGAGATGCCTGCAGCTGCATGGGACACAGCAGTCCCTGGTTGTGCACCCAAACGGCAGGCAGCCACGCACCCACCGGTGCCATTTGCTCCTAGCATGAAAGGAGCAAACATTCTCCTTGCTTCCAGATTTTTGGGTGCCTTTTTTTTTCCTAATTCTTGACAGCCCTGCTTACAGAGGGTGTAGGTGGCCGTGTGTGTTGCAGACCCAGGAGCCCTCCCTCCTACCCGCTGGCACAGAGCAAGGGAAAGCAGTTTCCACTGTCAAGAGGCTGCGCAGCAGCTGCACAAAGCCATCAGCGTGGTGTGGGAAGGGAGTTACTCAGCACTTGGTTCCCAAGAGAAAAACACACATACAAAAAAAGCAGCTTGAGCTGACTTTCCAAAATGCTTTGAGGTTCGTAGCAATGTTCTGTTCTTGGTCTCATCAGTATCCTTCCTGCATTTCCACTCATGGACCAGCTCTGGAGCTGGGCGTTATCCCAACTGTTTTTATGTTTTATTTCTTTGGATGCGCGAATGTCGGTCGATTGGAAAACAAACTCTGGAGAATCCTTGAGGAAAGGCTGCAAACAGCTCTGGGTGGGATGACTAATCCCATTGCTGCTGAATCCAACAGGGCCCTAAAAATAGCTCAATTTCTAACAATAAATATCATAAAGTCGCTTGCTGACAACAAACAGCCCCAAAAAAGCCAGAAGCACGGAGAGGACCACTGGAAATGGGGGTGGGGGTGGGAAGGAGCCAGCAGGAAGGCAGAGGGATGGGTGTGGGAAGGGTGCAGGTGCCACATGGTGCACAGTTGTGTGCTGTGTATGGTGGCGATGTCCATATCTGCACTTGGTTTGTTCCAGCTTAGGGCAGCACGAGGTGCTGGTGATGCTGGTAGATGGCACAGAGCAGAGCCGTGGTTTGCTGCTCCATGTGAGCAACCTCACCAATTCACATCTGGGTTTGGCAGATGTAAGAAAAGGTGCAGGGCCATGCGCTCCTGTACAGCATCACTCTGCTGTGGCCACACCAGCAGTCCCCCTATGGGACTCCCAGTCCACCAGCACGGATGGGGCCATTCCCACCCTGAGCTGCATTTCCCAGCTTCGCCCCTGCAGCATGGCCCCGTGTTACATAACTTGCTGCTGCCTTTCCCCACGCGTGGAGCCTCCTCCCACACCCAGCGTGTTGCAAAACCTCCCATCCATCTCCCCCACTCCGTGCCACTCGTCCCCCTTGGCTGAGTCACTGCATCTCCTGGGATGGGTGTGGGGTGAAGCACTGGGACCCGCAGCATCCCCAGCACTGCTGGCACCCCATGCCTGTGGCATCCAGATTTTTGGGTAGTGGGGTAGCTGGGGGGGGGCTGCGGGTGAAGGTTTATCGGTGTTAAGGGGAAGGCCAATTGCATCCATTTTTGCAATCTAGCAGGGCAGGGATGTGCCCATCTCCAGTCCCCAGTTCTGGGAGCGTGGCCTCATGGATGCATACAACCATCACTGCCTCAGCACCTCTATCCTTCAGGGCACTGGGCTGCCAGAGGGCGCAGCCCCACATCACCTCAAAGACACGAAGGCACGAAGGCACTCACCACCATGTCAGCATCCTCAGGACAGTGAACCCCCTTAGGACAGTGAAGCCCCCTGGGACAACAAAGCCCCCAGCCCAAAGTGCTCACACTGAGTCCCAGCTTGTCTACATGGCACTTCCATCCCATGCTCTGGGTGCACCTGCTGACCCCATCTGCACCCCAACGTGCAACAACAGAGATTCCTTCTGGCCTCCATTGCACGCTGGGGCGCAATGTCCTGAGCATGACAGAGACACCCAGATCTGGGCACACAGCTTCCAGACCCACAGCGTGAGGAGAAAGCACGGTAAAGCTGAATCCATAGCAGCACTCAGCACATTAGCACCTGGTGGGGCGGGGGGGGGGTGATGGGAAGGAAGAGGGGTGGGCACACCTCCGCCTCACATCACACCGGCCAACAACCGCCGCCTTCCGAGCATCGCGTCCCGGGGCGGCGTTAGGAGGGGCTCCGGGACAGCAGCGCTCGCCCGTGCCGTGCCCGCACCTCCTTCCCCCCTTCGCTTCGCTTCCTCCGCGCCGCCGCGGCCATTGGCTCCCGCCCGCGCCGCGTCCTGACGCTGGGGCTGGGCCGGCCCCGGCGATGGTCGCTCTCCGCCGGCAGCGCCGCATCCCCCGCAGGCGGCTCCGCGAAGGCCCCCGCGCTTCTCTCTTCCGAAGGTGAGTCCCAGCGCTCGGCTCGTTTTTTTTGTTGTTGTTGGTTGTTTTTTATTTTTTGTTATTTTTTTCTTCCTGCTTTTTAGCTTTTTTTTTTTTTTTCCCGGCGATATCATACATACGTACATATTTTTTTTCTTAACGTCTCCGCGGTGTTTACTTCCGAGAAAGGCCGAGCCTCTGTGTTTTTACCAATGCCCCCCCGCCCCCCAACTCAACCCAACCCCCCCCTCCTCCCCCCCCATTCCCCACCCCCAGAGCCGAACCCCGCCGTGGTGGGGGCGGAGAGCACATCCTTCCCCCCCCCCCCCCCCCCCTCCGCCGCTTCAAAACAAACCGTCACCAAAATGGTGCAGAGGTGACGGAGGAGAGGGAGGAAGGGGAAGAAGGGGAAGAGGTGCCCGGCGTTGCGGGGACAGGTGAGAAGGGGGCCAAGGGGGGGGAGGGGGTTTCCCCTATGGGCGCTGCGTGCGGGGTGTTGGGGGGGAGAGGGATTGATTGGCAAGAGCAGCTTTAGGGTGAAGCGAGCGGTGCAGCTCCTCTGCCTTGGCCGGCTGCCGCCGTGGGGCTGACAGCTGCGATTGTTTGTTCCCGCGGCCCCTCCTGGGGTGGTGGGGGTGGTGGTGGGGGGGTCCCGCGTTGCCGCCGCCGTTGGACAGCGGCCCGAGCCCGGCGGTGCCCCCGCCGCGGAGCGCTGCGTGGCTCGGGGTGGCCCGAGGCGGCCGCTGCCCGACCATCTCCTGCCTTCCCCGGCTCGTTCCTCGGTTTCGTTCTTGCATTTTATTTCATATTTCGTTTTATTATTGCGTTTTAAATTTTTACCTCGCGCAGCCACCGCTTCCCTCCTCGTCCTTTCCTTACTGCTCCGAGGGGGCCCTTCCTCCCTTCTCCCTTCCTCCCTTCTTCCCCGGTTGCTGCCAATCCCCGCAGCCCCCTCCCTTCCGGCCAGCCCCACAGCTGCCCCCCTCCCCCCTTCACTCCCCCCCCAGTCAACCCTCGTGGCTTTTCCTGCTGCCCATTCTCTGCCACCCAGGGGACGGGGCTGTCCCACCCCCAGCACGCTGCCACCCGTCCGCTCCCCTCCTCCAGGCAAGGAGCAGCACTTCGGGTGCAGGTAAGCTCCATTCTCAATATATTCTTGCCTTCCCTGCTGCCCACAGCCTCACCCCGGGGATACCCTGGGGAGCACTCCCCCCTCCCCCCATTGGGAGCTTCTGAAGGTCATGGACCTCTGGAAGTGCCTGGCGGCTCTCCCTCCCCTCCCTGTGCCCTTCAGCTCCCGCAGTTGTCGTGCTTTCACCGGGGCTGAGGCATCCCACACTTGTGCCGGGCTTCAAGCAGGTGCTCTGTGTCCCCAGGGTGGCTCTACTCGGGGAACACAGGGCTCCAGTTTCGGTGGCACCGCTGGCATGGTGCAGAAGGACGCAGTGATTGAGTGGGGTTGAGGCGTATGGGGCACCGCACTCGTGGGTTCTGCCCTGCAGCGCAGGCTTGGTCTGGCTTAGGCTCTTGGTGAGCTGGGCTTTGTCACTGCGTGACCTTGGGACGAGCCCTTGGTGCTGTGCTGGGGTCGGTGTCCCTTCCTCACTGCTGGCTGTGTCCCAGCATCGGGCAGGGTGGGGACGTGCGGTACCGGCGTGGCCTAACGGGGGCTCTGCCAAGTGAAACAAGTGGGGTCTGATTCTCATTTGTGCCCTGGCCCCTTTTCCCGCAACTCTGGCGATGTAAAGGAGCCTAAATATGGTCATAAAGCACAGCCACACCGAGGTCCCTCCGTGCTGCTGGGGCCGTGTAAAAGCATCTTTGTGCAAAGGAGAACAAAGCCCAAAGTGTCAGATGGGGAGCGGGAGTTTGACCTGGCATCTTCAGCCGGTTGTGGTCTCCAGGGCACATGAGGATAATGCTCCCAGTGCTCACCTGGGGCTGTGGGATGGCATGGGGACAGCTGTGCCACCAGCATGGCCCTTTGCAACCTATTTAAACCTGCAAGCGTGCAGCATTAGGAAGTTTGCTCTTTTCTGGCTTGCTCTCTGGCTGGAGCGCACCCATGGGCGGGAGGGACCTGATGCACAATGCCACCCATGTCCCATAGTTTTGCTGTGATGTTTTGTGCTGCCCTTTTGTCCAGGAGGAAGGGCTGTGTGCTGCCCACCTCCAAATAGGACATGGCAATGCTGTACAGCACTCCAGGGCATCCCTTAAGCCCCCACCATACCCAAGATGCGCCGAGCTGACGTGGATGCCCTGAGTGCACAGGCTATGCTGGACTTCCCCATCTGCAACCAGAGCTAAAAATACCCCTATGCCTCACCCCAGTGCTGTCCCTTCTGCAGGCTCTCCAGCCCCAGGGACTCTGTGGCTGTTTTGCAGTTCCTAGGGGCTGAGCTGGCCATGGCACAGAGGTGATGGGGTGGCAGGTGATGGCCCTACCCTGAGCAGTGCATGGCTGCAGTGAGTCACTGCAGGGCAAGAATAATGACTGGATGCCATAGGTTGGGTTGGTACCCTGTGCCTCCCTGTTCCAAAGGGGGCTCATTCCCTCGTGCCCCACAGTGCCGTTTTGCGCTCTCCCTCCTTGTGCTGCGCCTCTCAGGTTTCCTTAGCTTTTTTTCTTCTCATTAACAAAACTTTCAATCGAGGGCTGAAATTTGTTAATCATTTTGTTTGATCAGAGCTCAGGCAGCGCCGGAAGGACCTCGAGGTTCTCCCTGCGCCTTGGCTGAGCAGCAGTTTGCTTTTGCTTTCAAGATGGATCAAGCTGCCTGCCTGCCGGCAACCGCTGCCTTCGCAGAGCTGTCGCTTTTCATCTTGCGCTTTGCCTCTGTTTGCTCAGTTTTTCTCTCATTTCTCCTTTCTCCTGCCCTCACTCCTGGTGTCACTCCCCGCCACGTGAAAAGAAAGGCACGGGAGCAACGCAGTGCTTCGACACCGAATGCGCCGGCGTGGGGTGAAGGTTTGCAACGCTCATGGAAAAGCACTTTGCAGGGATTCGTTCCGCAGCTTTGCTTTCTCTTTACAAAGATGTGGGGACTTTGGGGGCCTCCCGTTTGCATGGGAAAAACTCATACCATTTTGCACCTTTCCCAAAGGGGTTGTGAGGGGTCTGTGTGTGCCCAGACCCACTGGGGTTGCCGGCCCTATGCCACTGCTCAGCTGTGTTGAGCAGTGCACGTGTTCTCATTGCAACATGCAATTAAATGCTCGTTTTCCTCAAGCTCCTTGGTGCTAAAGAGCGTTGCTGTCTCCAGGTTGCACAGTACCCATGTTTCCAGCTCTCTTTGCTTTCGTTGAACAACACTCACCTTGGGCCAGAGGGTGGCATTGGGTCCTGCTCAGCTGCGTGGAGCTGCCCCAGCACCGGGGGTGTAAGAGGCAATAGAGGCAATAAGGAGCAATGAGGCAGAGTGGGGCAGTAGGTGTAGTAAGGATCAGTAGGGGCAGAGTGGGGCTACAGGGGAAGAGTGGGGCAGTAGGGGCAATAAGGATCAATGGAGCAATAGGGGTAGTGAGGATCAATAGGGGCTATAAGAGCAGTGGGGCAGAGTGGAGCAATAGGGGCAGTAAGGATCAATGGGGCAGAGAGGAGCAGGAGGGGCAGTACGGATCAATGGGGCAGAGTGGGGTGATAAGGGGCAGTAGGTGCAGTTATGTGTTCCCGTTGGGCTCACAAATAACCCCACTTGAAACTTTTCATCTTCCTTTTTAAGCACAAGTGGCTTTTGGAACAAGGCGACTTTTCTTTTCTTTTTCCTCTCATATCATCTTTTTTTTTTAATTGACTTTTTTAAGGTGAAAATCTGGCTTTGTATTTTTTTTAAGTGGCTTTTTTTTTTTCCCTATCATTGGAAGGTTTCAGGGCAAAATCGTGAGGCGCTGCAGAAACAAATACCCAGGAACACACTCCGCTGGGGACAGTGGGGATCGTTCTGAGTGGTGTTCTTCACAAAACAGACATGGAGCACTCACGGAGGGTGTTCCACCAATGAGGTAAAGATGTGTGGGATTGGCAGAGCAGGGCTTGTTGAGAAATCCGTTGTTCCCTCTGATGGAGGAACAAAAATGAAAGAAAGAAAAAAAGTAAAATAACCAAATGGATGCGTTCTTCTGCCCCAGCAATGCTCTGGTTTTGCGAGTGCGGTTCGATCCTGCACTCATGGCAGTGCATTGTTGGTGTGGTGGAGTGCAATGGGAACGATGTGGGGCTGTAGTTGGAACCTCTACAGCCTCCACACCATGACAGCCTCATCCTGCCCAGAATGCAGCAGGGCTCCATGGAGAGGGATTCCTGCCCTTGTGAAAAGTGTGTGCTAGAGGAGAGTTGATTTGGCTAGTGAGTGACTGACCTGTGCATGGTGCTTTGGTATCTTGCAGCAGAGCTTGCTCTGCTTTGCTGTTGAGCAGCAGCAGGCACAGCACTGTGCCCTCCTATGGACCCAAATTTGGCAGCCTCACCCTCTCCAGGTTGTGGCTTTGGGCAATGCAACGAGTGGGGCTGAGGGGCTGCCAGGCTGTCCATCTCCTGCACCCTGCTCAGTCACTGAGCAGCCGCTGCCCCCCTCCCATGCCCTGCACCTCTCTGCCCGTTTTCTTGTTCCAAAATATCCCCATCCCTGTGCAGAACGCAGCCGGGAGCTGTGGGGCTCCGAGCCCTCGCGTTTGCTAAAATAGAAGCAGAACAAATGGTCGGAGCGAGATCCTGGTTGTGAAGGCAGCCAAGGCTCTTCCTGCAGCAGCTGGTGGCTGGTATGCTGCGTCTTGCTCCCTTCAGCAAGCCTCTCGATAGAACTGGCATTTTACTGCAGGGGGGAGAGAAGCATCTGTCTTCAGGGCGGTGTTGGTGCGGCAGGGCTTGGCACGCACCCTATGCTTGCTGGGGGTTTGTATGGTGGGGATGCTGAAGTCACCCCTATGCATGCGGTGCTGAGCGCTTTGTAAGCATCCCCCCACCCGGGGGGGTGTTTGGGTGTGTTGGGTCTTCTCAGCAGTGGTTGCACACGGAAAGGTGGATTCTATCCTGGGATGGCCTGGGATGGGGAGCAATGCTTTATAACCACAATTGTTTCCTTCTCTTTGGCAGCACTGAGGGATGCAATGCAGTGGTGGGACCTAAGAGATTGGGTTGGTGGTTGGACTCAATGATGTTGAAGGATCTCTTCCAACCTTAGTGATTCTGTAATTCTGTGCCATGCTGCGTTGCCATTGTGTCAGGCAGTGTGGAATTCCCAGGGGGCTTTGTCCCCAAAATGGCATTGCTCGGGCACAGCGCTGTGCTGGTCTGCAGGCTGGAGGAGTCAGTGAGGGAGGGATGCTTGGATGGCCCCATAGCTCCCAATGGCAATGTTGGCTCTGGGAGCAAAGAGCAAGAGACTGAAACAGAGTGTTGGGAGTGGAAGCAGAAAGGCAGAAAGCGTTGGCCATGCTCTGCTCCTCTGAATCCCTGTGGCCAACAGTGACAGGATTCTATGCGTGGCTCTGGGATGCAGAGGGCTGCTCTATCAGAAGAGCCCCATTTGTACAGGTGTGAAGGGCAGAGGAGCTGCCCATGCTTGGGGATGTTCTCCTCTCATCCTTTCAAGCTCTGTGTCCACTCGTGATCTTTGAGGTTTTTGGTGGAGAAGGGAGCAGGGCTGCTTTGCACGCACCCACAGTGTAATCCTATGCACATGCACAGGGGGAATGGGGTTTTTTTTTGTCCTGCAAATGCAGATTTGTTTTGAGTTTTGTTCAGATAAATACTACTATGGTTAATATGGAGCTCTGGGCACTGCAGAAAGAAATCCTGGTGGCTCTGGTCTTGTTAGGTTGGATGCGAGAGCTCTGGGGTTTGGTTCCTGTTTGGGGACTGAAGACAAATGTTCTGAGAGGTTGTGTGCATCCTTCCGTGGCTCTGCTCCCAGCCTGGAACTCTGCACCAGAAGTGTGGCACTTGAGGGTGCCATGCCCTACACTTCAGTGTTGCAGAGTGCCATACACCAAGAGGTGCCATGCTTGAACCAGGGTGTTGCAGGGTGCCATGCAGCAGGAGGTGGGTGTTGCTGGGTGCCATGCCATGCACCAGAGTCACATTCTGGCATTGATATGCTGGGATTTTTCCAGTGTGGGGGCCAAGTGCCATGTGCACTCTGTGGGTCCCTGGGGCTTTCTGGCTCCCCCTGGGACCTGCTTACAGGTCATGGCCCATTAGGCAGTGTTTGCACAGAGCTGTTTGTCTGCCATCTTATTTTGATTTGCGTGACTTTTTGCAGTTTTGCATCACTGTGGGTTGGGAAGGGGTACAGGAAGGGAGCTGGTTTGTCATGCATGCTGGTGGGATTTGCTTCATTTCTGTGCAGCAGCAGCATTTGGTGCTCCAGGGTCGTCCCAACACCCTCCAGCTTATCCCCACCAGCCCAGGAGGTCCCTGAGACTAGAGCTGGGAGCACCCATGGGCATCCCTGGAAGCAGGGAGCAGCAGCTATGTGCACTCCCACCCTGAATCTTACTGGGATGGGATCCCACCCGCAAGCCTGATGTGGGCAGAGCGACATGAAGCAGTGGGAGCACAGCAAACCAGGGGTTGGGAGGACCTCATCACCCTCCTGGCTGCCTGATGAGTCCTGGGTGCTGCTTGTGTTTTACTTTTCTCCTCCATAGGTCCCCAACGTGGCTCATCTGCATTTTCAGCCTTCTTCTCCCAACCATTCTCACACTGAAGTCTGTAACACTGAAATTGTAGCATCGCCGTCGTTTCCGTGGCAACTTGCAGGGATGTATTTAAAAAAAAAAAAAAAAAAAGGCCCAGAAGCCTTCTGAGGATTATGACTTCACTGAGGGATCAGGCTGGAGGGGAATCTGGGTCAGGCTGCTCTTCCCATCCCCTGTCATTTCCGTGGCCATGCTGGGGCAGAGGCACCCATGGGTGCCCTCCTCCCCAGCACCCTGGGGTGCTGTGACCTGGGGGCATGAGGTCAGCTGGCCTCCCTCAGGCAGGAGCAGAGCAGCTGGGGGTCAGTGTGGCTGCAGTCGCCCCTAAACCCCCCTAGTTTTCCAGCAGAAGTCCCATTGCAAAGCATGGATTGGTTCCAGGAACCCAGAGCTGTGCTCCCTGCCCCCCACCCCCCTCCCAGTGCTTTGTGCATTGCAAGTTTTCTCTCTCATCCCCCAAAATAAACAGGAGTGTGGTGTTGTTTTTTTTTCTTTCCTTTTTTTTTTTTTTCTCCCTTTTTCCACACCCCCAGAGCCGCTGTTGCTGGTGGCAGAAAGCCCAGACTCCGTAGGAACTCAGAAATGCTGCAGCTCCAAGCCCTGGCTGCCCTCTTGGTTTCGCAATCTTGGGGAAGGGGTGGAGAAATAAGATGGGAGGGGATGTATTTTTATACATATATATATATATATATATATATACATACATACACACACACACGTATATTTTGTGTATTAAAGATTTTTAGGCTTTCCCACCAGTGGGGATGAGCAGCCTGGTGGAGCCGGGTGGATGATTTCTTTTGTAAGTTCCTTCCACCATTTTTGGGGCTGTGCTGGTGGGGGGCAGTGGGTGGGGGCTGCACTGACCCTCAGTGAGGCTGGGAGGATGTTCAGCTTAGGTGATGCTGAGCTCCAAATCGCCATCATGAGATCCCCATGTGGCACCGAGTCTCAAAGCTGGGATGGATGCAGCATCCCAGCAATAGATGGGATTGCATGGCCTGACCCGGGGATGTATTTATTTCTCATTTTACGGCTGATTTTCTCAAGACTTCTGGGGCAGGGAGGTGACGGGGCCATGTCACTGCAGGATCTGATAAGGGTGAGATGCCTGCAAAGAGAATTCCTCGCAGATCATTATTTATACCTCTGCCTGCGTCACTGGTAAACATCTGGATTCGTTCCAAACATTTTCATCTGCTCCGTTCCGTGGGCTCTGATGCAGATCTTGGTCACATCCCTTTGGTTGTATTGTTTTGGCTAAAATTTGGGGTGAGTTTTCAGGCTGTCCTGGGGCTCAGCATTCACATAGTGCCCTATCGGGCTGCTGGCTGTGGGTGAACATCAAGCAGCAGAACTTTTACAGTGTGCGTGGATACTGGGGGGGGGGNNNNGGGGAGAATCCTGCAGCCATCAAAAGAAAGAGCAGCCCCAACCGTGTTGCTTTCTGTTTTAGAACGGAGCCGTTTTGCTTTTTGGATGGACCAGCATCCCGACCTTTCTGCACACGCTGCGCCGAGCTCTGCGAGGTGAGGGTTGACTCTGTGCTCTGTTTGCATTAAGGATGAGGTTGTCTTGTAAATTAGTTGCCTCAAATTGCAGCTGAGGACTTTGGTGTAAGAGCAGTGCTCGGCACGCACGGGAGCGGAGCATCGCTCTGCAGCTGGGATGCAGATGGAGTGGCAAAGTGGCTGCTTCACCCACAGCCTTCATCTCTTGAAAGTGCATTTTGCTAATCCTTCATTAGGCTCTCATTGTGAGCTCGTTATCCTGTTAGGGCTTAGGGCTGTGCAGGCGTTTGGCCCAGCTCTGCTTCGGCACCCAGGTCTGCAGGGAGGTTGCAAAAAGCAAAGCAAAGCCTTGTACACCCACACATGCCCACGTGTGTGTGCAAACCAGGAAGCAAGCTCGGAAGGGATGAGCCAGTACTCGGAGACAGGCTCAGCTTTATCTGGTTGAAAATGAAAACCGTTGTGGCTAGTGAGAGGGTACAGGTTCCTGGCTTTTTTTTTCCCCCAAAATAAATGGTGGGATTTCTTTTGCCCTCTTGATTCTTTTTGCTGTGGAATGTGGATTTGGGGGCTGAACGTTGCTGCTTTCCTTCTGCCCTCTGCCAAGGGAGGTGCTGGGCTGTGTGTCCTTGGCCCCTTCTGACGCTCAGCTGATAAAAATGAGCCTAAAAATACGAAAAGCCTCAATGTGCCTGGCAGCAAAAGCCCAACCTGAGGGTGCCTTGTGCTGTGCTGCTGCAGCCCGACCTCGTGCCCTGTGCAGTCCTGGAAGGAGGTGGTGGCTTTACTGAAGGAGCACCTGGGGATGGGACTGGGAAAGGAATGCCATTTCCAAGTGGATACAGAGCAAATGCAGCCCTTCTGTATGCTGTAATACATGGAGCTGGGCTCTGTGAAACCTTCTGCTTCAGTGGATTTCTGTTCTCATGGACTGCAGTGCAGTTTCCGTGCAAGGGAGTAGCAGGATCACATCCCCCCTGCCACAGAAAAGAATGCAATGTAAGTAGGAGTGAAGGAAGGGGCCAAGAACAGAGAACTCAAAGCGAAAAGAGTATTTTTAAAAGACAAAAATCCCTTCTTGGTGACCCAGAGAGTCGACCATAGAGCAAAATCCCCTCCAAAAAAGTTTCCACGCTCTCTGCTGTTGCTCCTCTGTGCTTTGTGCAGTAATTGTGAGAAAGCATTGGGAACTGAGGGGACCGAAGGGGTGTGCATACATTTTGTCAGCCGAAAAAATGATCAGATGGAAAAGCAAAACATTCCCATTCGTTTCAATCACCTTCTGGGTTGCACTGATTTTATTATTTTTTTTTCCCCTTTCCCTCCATCTTAAATCCGAATGTGATGATATTTTTTTTTGTTTTTAAGCAGCCAGGACCTTGAAGTTCATGTTTTAGGGGAAAAGCTGCGGCCCCGCTGAGGCTGAATTGCAGAGACCTTCTGCTTTCTCTGTCGGTGTCCATAAAATCCCCCTCCTCCTCCAAAATCCGTGCGTGGGTGCAGTGACGGCAGTGCCGGGGAAGCAGTGCTCAGATCCCTGCAGGAGGAAGGAGTGGGTTTTAGGGTTGGGGGGATGGGATGTGGGAGCCGTGCTTGTGGAATGGGAAAGGGTGGAAGTGGCAAAGCTTTGGTGGGATCCATCTCTGTCCTGCATCCCTGCTACATCCTGGGACTTGGGGCTGGGACCTGCATTTCTGCCTCCAGGATGGTTTTTTGGCTTTTGAGCTGGAATTTTGGGGGCTGGGACCTGCACTTCTGGCTTTGGGCACCTCAGGGCTGATGTTCATCTCCTTGCAGGGCCAGCTGGAGCCTTGGTCCCCAGTTGATTTTCCCTCCCCCCGGCTCCCAGTTGATTTTCAGTTGCTTTGCTTTGGGGAAGCACGGATTTTGCAGCACCACCAGTGTTCTGCTTGCACACCCACCCTGCAGTCATTCATCCTGGTTTGCAAGGTACTGGGGGAGGGGGATACGCTGCAGCCCCTCCCATCTGCCCAGTGCATCCTGCCCTGTTTGTCAGGCTGACTATTTGTTTGGTTTCCATAGGGAGAGCTGTGCTGAGCCACCTGGGGAGGCGGGGGGGCTGCAGGTGGACTTGGGGAGGGGGCTGACAGCTGCTGACTCAGGTAACATAGTGAGGACCCATGCGTTGCTCCTCGTTATCACTATTTTCTCTTGTCCTCCCTCCGGCGTGTGCTGGAGCTTTGTGCCCAGTGGCCGTGGAGTTTGGACTGGGTGCTGGCGGGTGCAGGGTCAGTGGGTGCTCAGCCAAGGTGCACGTGGCCGGCTGTGTGCTGGGAAGGGGTGAGTGTTTGCCTTGACCCAAGCAAAGCCATGCAGAACTTCAAGGAGTGCTCAGTCAACCAGAATGGGTTGTTCCCAAATGGGAAGTGTTGAGTCGGTGCCCTTCTTCACCTGCCCTGGGCGTCTGCATGGCAATTCCTGGTGCTGTTGTGCAGGGTGTGTTGGCACTGAGGCATGCCATGTGCATGGGTGTGTGCTGCAGCACTTTGCTTTGTTCACAGCACTGTGGATGGGTTCCCTGGTGCTGTCACTGTACCCCAGCACATGCCCCCCGCCCTGCTCAGCAGCCTGGGTGAATGCAGCTCCTATTGCAGTGGGCAGCACTGGATGACGCTCTTCCCCTTCCTCTTTTTCCTTGCAGGGACAAATTCTGTGTTGCTTTCCTTTCGTCGTCTGTGAGCAGCTGCTTCCCATGCAAAGTGTGTGTGGAGCAGGTGTGTAGCTCCCGTGGTGGGTGCAGAGTGTGAGACCCCCATGCTGGGAGGGGGCTTTGTTGCAGCTCCTGCAGCCTGTGCACTGCACAGCACCCACTGCTGCCCTGGGGGTTCCTCAGCCCTGCAATGCTGTAGTTATGTGAGTTCCAAACAAGTTTGGGAAACAAAGCCTCAGTGCTGCAATGGAATGAGTGCACCCAGTGCTCTGCTTTGCGCCCAGTGCTGCGGTGCAGCGCTGCTGCTTTAGGGAGCTGGGTTCTGAGATGGGTGCCAGCAGGTGGCAATGTGACCAGAGGCATTGCAGGGCAAGGACGAACGCTGGGTGCTGCGGCCATCCTTGCCTCAGCACATGGGCAGGAGCCCATCTGGCTTCCGCACTAAGCACACCCAAAGGAGCTTGGGGGTCATTGCAGGCTGGCTGAGCAACATGGGGCTGTGCTGAGCTGTGCCTGTGGCTGTGCTGAGCGCTGTGCACACAGAGGCTGTGCCCAGGGACAGACGTGCTGTGACCCACCGGAGCCCCTGTGCCCATCCCTTGTCCCACGCTTGCCCCATGCCCCTTGATCCCGTTGGGACGTGGTGCTCTGGTGCCGGCCCGGTGCCCTCTGCCCGCCCCCACGTCCACCCAGCTGCAAGTTTCGCTTCTGCATCTCCAGCACTGAAGGGGGAACTTGGCCAGCGAGAGCGAAACTCAGCGGCTGCAACGGTTGCACCCGCACGCAGCCCCCGTCAGCCCTCCGTGTGCCCTGGGGCCTCAGGGGACCTGCAGCTCCTACTGCCCCCTGTGCCCTCCTGGCTTTTCCCTTCCCACTCCTGGAATGAAAAGCCCAAGTGGTAACAAACTCATTGAACATAATTAAGTTTCCAGTGGTGGCTTGAGCAGGGACGCACCTGAGGAGGCTCTGTGTTTTGTGGGTAGATGGTCTGGGGCTGGCTATGTTAGCCCTGGAGAGGGGTGGTGAGCGGGCTCAGCCCAGGGGGAAGTTTGGGTTTGGAGCCCAAATGTTTTGTGGCCCCAGACCCGTTGCTAGAGGAAACGTGGAAAGGGGAAGGAGGGATTGTGGTTGGGCAGCTCTTCCCCTCTGCAATCTGAGCCTCCGTCTTGGCCCGTCCACCTCCCCTTGGCATGGACTGTGCCCCCCAATTGCTCAGTGTCCCCACGTTGGCATGGGCTGGTGGTGACCCTGCAGATCGTGGTGGCCCTGGGGACACAGTGCCATGCACAGAGCTCCCTGCAGCTGGGCTTTGCCGTTGTGGTGCTAGTAAGGTAAGCGCATCTCTGCCACTAATTGGCCCCTGATTGATCTAATGAGGTGGCCGATCGTCTCACAGCCTGCAGTGCTACAGTGAAGCTCTGGAGGTTTGAGGAGGGCACACAAACTTTGTGCCATGGGGCTGTGCTGCCCACATGGAGCGAAACCGCAGCTCTGGCTTCCGAACAGGAACAGATTTTCTTGTCTGCTCAGCGTTTCTGGGTGAGCACCGGACAAAAAGATTGCTTTCTCTCTCTCCCCCTTTTCCTTCCCCTTGTTGTTTTGGTGTGTTCTTTTTTTTTTTTTTCACTTTGATTTGCTCCACAAGGAGGTGATGTCAGCTGCTTTAAATAAACAGCTGCTGGTGTTATCTCTGCCTATGGCATGCTCTGTGTGCACGGTGGCTTTTCTGCACCGGTCCAGGCTTAGCTGGGCAGTGCATGGCTGAATGCTTGGCTGCTGCTGCACGCTTAGGGTGAGAGCCCTGCCCATGCATTCACACATCCTCCACCCTGCTCCCATGTGAGCAGTGACACAGCTTGGCGATGCCCTGCAAGCAGGGGGAGGCTCTGCACGGACACAGGTGAGCCGGGAGCTGTGCAGCTGGTGGGGTTTGGTGCAGCCATGGGTGCTGTGGTCCCACTGGTGCTCATTGCCAGGACCCTTCTCTGCTGTGGGTGATGCTGGGGTTTGCAGCACTTGCACCCCGACAGTTTGCAGCAGTTACATTCTGACAGTGCAGCTTGCAAGCCTTGGGTTGGCAGCTGAAAGCAGAAGCATGGGTCACACTGCTGCATGCCCTGGATGTGCAACGTGAAGCTCCTGTGGCTTGCCCGCTCTGTTTACTCTCTTTGCAGGGCATGGCTCTTTTTGCGTGTGAGGAAATCAAGGGCCGTCCCTTATGGGCCTTGTGTTTGACCAGCAGGCTGCTCTGGCCACTAGAACAGGTGCAAGAGGGAGAGAAAAGCTGGCGCTCCCCATCTTCAATGCTCTCCCATCACAGAGCTGGGATGTGCCTGAGGCTGACAGAAGGTGTGGGATAAATGCACACAGCTGCTCGAAGACACCATCACGATGGGGCACATCGGGTGCCCTTCGCCCCTGACCCAGCCATGTGCTCCTTGGTCCAGCTTTGTTCAGGCTGAGTTTTGTAATGTCAGGAAGTGAGCTGGCTGTGGGAGGGGAGGCAGTGGGAGCAGAAGGCTGCTTTGTGGTTGGAATGGAGGATGCCGGAAAGCTGAGCGCAATTCCTCCCTTGGGTGAGGCTGCAGCTTGGCTTGGAGCGGGTGCACAGTGCCTTTGGGGTCCCTCTCTGTACCTCAGTTTCCCCTTAGTGGCTCTCTGGTGCTGGGACAGTGCTGGTAAATGAGCATCCTGCATGGCTCAGCTTAAAGCATCTGTGTGTTGGTGCTGTTCCGCTGGTTGTGCAGGGGCCTCTGTGTGTTTGCACCTGGAGCCTCATCCCACCTGCAGACACCAGTGCAGTGGAGGCTCTGAGCTGGGGCTGATCTAGAATTGAATGTGGAGGTTGGTGGCCCTGCATGTGGCAGGGGGGTTGGAACTTGATGATCCTTGAGGTCCCTTCCAACCCTGGCCATTCTGTGATTCTGGGGGGCTTGAGGCTGCCCCACATGTGGCTGTGAAATGCACAGGCCCCAACCCTGGGGTCTCTACATACCCTGGACTCTCCATTTGCTGCCTGCTTCCCTCCAGCTCATGGCCATTCCCTTTTTTTGCAGCATGGTCGATGCTTGGTAGCAGACACTGAAGCTGCAGGTGTCTGCATTGCAGGTAGGACTGCTCCCAAGCATCCCCATGCACCAGCATGGCCGTGGCTGTTTCTCACATCCCAAGGCAGCAAGCAGCAAATGGGCACAGAGCAGTGGCAAAGCAGAGAAACCAGGGCAGCCAGGGACAGCTCGTCCCTGAGTGGATGAGACCTGTGGCCATAACACTGTTATTTTGTCCCCAGGAATAAGGACATTGTGGTTCAGCGAGGTCTCAGTGCGTTCTCCCTTTCCTGACCTTCTCTGCCTGTTTATTGCTGTTACAGTAAATGTTTTCATCTCTCCTGTCTGTAATGCACTTGTGGTAGGGGCAGTGCCTCATCCCTGTTTTATGCGGGATCTTTGGTTTCGTGTAATGGATATTCCTCCTATTGATTTTGATAGCAGATACAGAAAGATTTTAAAAATAATCTGCTCCTAGCTCCTGAAAGGAGGGGGCTCTTCTCTCTGCCTGACAAGCACTTTGCTGCGTTATGATGGCTTTTTAGTGCTGGAGAGGGCAGGGCACGGGTGATCTATTTGAGGCTTGGAGATGGGAAGTGATGGCCGTTTCCCTGCAAGGTCAGGAGCAAGGACTTCTGGAGACCTGCTCTGCTGCCCTGGAACAGCTCCATAGGCTGCACTAGAACATGGCCCTGCTGTACTGCAGTCTGCACCGGTGCCGTACCAGCGCTGCATTTTGGTCAGCTCAGTGGGCAGTTTGTGTTCCCAACCTCTCTCTGCCTGAGCACATCTGGTGTAGGAGCTCTTCTAAGGGCTGTGACCTTAATTGAATCAACTCCTTCATGTCCTGGAGACAGCTGTGTCATCTCCTGCAGCCGTGCTGGGTAATCACGTGCCCATTACCACGTGCACAGAGCTGCAGGGTCTGTGCCAGCCTGCCTTTCTCTATGGGATTTTGCAGCAGAAGTCTGCTTTCCCTCCGACAAGGAAAAGACCTGAGGTCACTCTGTCTGCTCCTTGGCCGTCTTGGGCATTGCATCACATTCTTTTTATAATCATCAGAGTTTGCATTCCGATGCAGACCTGGGCATGCCGGGATCCCACCGTGCTGCACGCCGGAGCGCCCGCAGACACAGCCGGGCTGCAGCCAGCCTGTCTCCTTGAAGCTCCACTCACTCTTTCCACCAGAGAGATAAAATTAGCAGCTGCTTTTTTTTTTTTTTTTTTGTTTCACCACGGGAGTTGCTTCAAACCCTGCCAGCCCAACTGGGTTCCCTTTCATTGCCCCTTGCTGCACTCCCTGGCTCCTTTTTCCCTGTTTTTGTTGTTGCTGTACACATGGATGCATTCCTCACCCCACTCCCTTATTATTTTTTTATTTCCACATTTTCTTTTAAAATTAATATTTCCCTTTTTCCATCCCTATCCATTAAAAGCAGGGTTTGGAGCCAAACAACAGCTCTGATCACTCTTCCCAGAGCACAGAGCCAGATTTGAAGCCCTTATCTATTGCTGCCCTCCTGCCCACTGCTGCCCTGGTACTGGGAGGGGAGTTCCACTGAACCTTCATTGCTCCAAAGCACGTTTACGGTATGATTGTACCTCCCTTTGTGTCCGTGGTTGAGTTGCAGAAGGGGTCAGCTGCACAGGAAGGGGGAAACTGAGGCATGGCAGGGATGTGGCTCACCTGCAGGGTTGGAAAGCCAGGATTTCCTCCTCTTGAAATAAAACAAACACAGTAGGAGGCAGCAAGCACGTTCAGATCTCAAGCACGGCATCAAAGAAGGATAAAACCCAGCCTGGGCACCAAGCATGCATTGTGGCACCATGGATGCTCTGCATTCTGTGGGGCACGGAGCAATTGCTGATTTGGTCCCCCCCCTCCATGTGGCCCCATGCTGATGACTGGTGGCAAGCAGTGGGTGTCCCATTGCGGCCCTGCAGCAGGATCTGCAAAAGCAAACAGGAAGCCGAGCAGGGAGCAGCCCACCTTATTGACTTGCTTGTTTACTGTGGTTCCTCTGAGGTCAGTGCTGGGGTTTTAACACCCTCCTGCTCATTTTGGCAGCCTGAGGAGCAGGGTGGGAGCAGGGTTCTTTGTTTCCTCCAACTGGAGGCAGGGGATGGATGTATGGCCAGGGGCTGTGCCCTGCAGGATATGGAGATGCTAAGGTGCAGGAGTGCTTGGGTGTGGGGCTGCTCAGGGGCAGAGTGTGAGATGTGGAGGTGCAGGGATGTTCGGGTGATGGGGTTCTTGGGTATAGGGATGCTTAAGTGCAGGGGTGCTGAGGGAGATGCTGTGCCCATATGTGCTGCTGCCTTTGCAGTGTGGGGATCTTGGGGTAGGTGCAGCTGCTTCAGGAGAAGCCTCAGCCACCCTGGCCTGAGTTTCTGCAGGGTTTTCACTGCTCTGAGGCTGGCACTGCAGTGATCCTGGACAGGCCTGTGTTAAAGCTGATAATACTTCTGCTAGTGCTGGTAATCCTTTTAATATCCACTTCTGTGAAAGCTTAGGTGCAAAGCCTGCAGGGAAGAGGAGGACATCCTTTTAGGAATCGGTTCTGTTCTTCCCTTGCAATACGCTGTAAAGTGCAGAGTATGCTGCCCTCAGAAGAGGACGCAGATGGGGTTAAAGCTGCCCTTGGCAGCGTGGCTGTGTTAATGGGAAACATGCTGCAGTGGCATCGACGTGGCTGCTTGCACCTTGGTTTGATTTGGGCTTTTCCACTGTGGCTGTGCTCTCTGGTTGCAGGCTGCGGTGCTGGTGCCTCCCTATGGAGAGTGCTGCACGTGGGACTCGTTGCCTTTATTAAAAACAAAACAAAACAGCGTTGTTTGGTGGAAAGCTTCCAGCTGCGTGGCTGAGGAGCAAACTTTTTGGAGCAGAAGCTGTCCAGGATGGGAAGGGATGGATGAGCAATGTGGGATGGGGTTTGTGGAGGTTCTCCTGGGTGAAACCCACCACCAGGAGAGCACTGGGGGAAACCCAGCTCCGCTGATGAGGAGGACAAATGTTCCTGCTGGGTGTGATCTGCCCTCCTCCCACTGCATTGCAGGGCCCCATTGTGGTGCTGGGTGGGGAGATCTGCAGGCAGCATTTGTCCCTTTGGGGCTCAGTGCATTTTGGGGTTTTTCATGTGCTGGAAGCAGAGCTGTTGGTCCCTGCCTTATCCTTAGAGAGGGGCTGACACTCTCATATGGGGTGATGCCTGATGCTTACCCTAACCATAGTTCCCCATCCATCCTCCCTTTCCACCCCCATCCATCCTCCCTTTCCACCCCCATCCACCCCCTTACCTCCCCAGTAGCCCCACACTGAGTTTTGCCATCAGGACCTGCTTTACTTTTGCTCCTGCTGTCAACGGGTTCAATCTGACAGCCTCCCCGTTTCCATCTGGGCTGGGAGCACAGGATCCATCCCCGAATTCAGCTCCCTCCTTCTCTCCCGTTTTTAATGAGTCAACCTCTCATCTGTCATATTAAACCTCCTCATTACCAGGTATCTAAATTTTGCTCTGACAATAGTGACAGGGGAAGCTGCGATATCATTGCCTCAGCGCGCGGCTCCGGGGAGCTGGCAGGTGGTTATTTCATGCCCTGCAGGGAGCCGTGGGGGTGGGCGACAGAGCCAGATAATGGGCTCTTGCTTCCCTTCATTTAGAAAACTGTACTTAGTACAGGGGAAAAATCATCCCAGTTCTGAGGCTGGTTATGGGGTGGGGGGAGGAGGTGAAGTGACCTCATTGTGTTGGGATGCTCCCATGTGAGAAATGGGCAGCGCTGTGATGGTGGATGCCTGGGGTGGGTATGGGATGCTCTCATGCAGGAGATGGGCAGTGCTGTGGTGGTGAGTGTGTGGAGTGGGTATGGGATGTTCAGGGGATGTCTTCTCTCCGGGTGCCTCCCTGGTGGCTCCCAGCAGGGTTGGATCCTGAATGAGGATGCTGCTGCCACTAGGGCTGCTGCTTAGGATTGTGGTGAAGCCCAGCGTGGGCAGCTTTGGAGGTCACTTTAGCAAAGTACAGCCTGGCACCTCTGTTCTGCAGCTCTCTGGTTGCTGATTTCCCCAAAGCCTTTCAACCCTCCCCTCCCCCTTAATGCAACATGCAAGTATCGGTGCTCCAGCATCGCTGTGGGGCTGCACTTTCCTCCCCAGGCTCAGCCAATCTTGGCACAACCCATGGTTTTGTTACAGCTCAGCTGAGCTGGCAGCGCAGTTGGCATCTGCTTTCCTCCAGAGAATGCCTGAATCTGGGTCAGGAATGTTTCTACCTTCAAATTCCTCAGGGGTTCGGCTGAATCCAGCCCAGATTCTGCTCTCTGGAGCCTCCTGTGGTGGTACCTGTGGCTGTGGGATGCATCCAGTGGGAGCCAGGTACCCACCAGAGTGCATTGCCCAGCACTTTGCTGCACAAAGCTGGTGCCAGCTGCAGAGACCTGTGCTGCTGCACCTGCTCCATGAGCAGGATCTGTCCCCAGGAGGGCTGGGGCCAACCGTGCAGCTGTGCATCCCAGCCATGTTCACACCAGAGCAGCGTGCTTCAGCCGCTTTCTTCTCCCCTCCCCCATGTGCATCTGGAGACTCTGCACAGGAACCCAGATAGCATCATCCTGAAACCAGAATAGAAGCTCTGGAGGGGACTCGAGTGCGTTTGTGTGGTTTTGATCTCGGTTTGGAGATAAAGAGGTGCTAAACAATGCTGAGTGGGTGAACTAGCCCTTCACCTGGCACACGCAGCCTCTGCCATCCGTGGTGCCAAAGCTGTGGCTGCTGTCCTGCCCCGTGGCACTGCATGTCCCTGTTTCTGCAGTCGCTGTCCCCCAGGTGCCATCCTGGGTGGGATGTGATGGCTCACTGGGATGGCTGTGGCTGCAGTGGGCAAGGAGCTGTGATGGCTTGGTGGGGTGACAATGGCACAGTGATGGAGAGCGTGGAGGGGTGATAGCAGGCATGGGAGAGGTGGCAGTGGTTGATATGGAGTGGTGACAGTGGGTACAGAGCAGAGACAATGCGGGAGGAAGAGGAGGAACGGTGCCCAGCAGCATGGGCGCTGTGGCTGAATGAATCAAGGGGCCGTTTTCTACCCTCCTCATAGTAGGAGGAAGCTGGTCCTGTGTGTCCTGAAAGCAGCAAGGAGGAAACGAAGAGTCCTTGGTGTCGGTGCAGAGGATATGTCAAAAACAACAATTAAGTCACAACAGGCAGGCCTGGCCGTCAGCGAGAAAGGAAACAGGAAGGCAAGACCTAGAGCTAAACAGTCAGGTTCAAGAGGTGACCAGAGCTGGCTCCGTATCCTTGGGAGGAGGAAGTCCAGCCCTCATAGTGAGACAGATGTGTGGCACTGTGAGGTTGGGAACCTTGGCTGTGCAGTGAATTTTGGCCACAGGAGAACCTGAGTCTGTGCAGATGCTGATGTTGTTGCAGATCCAGGGCTTGGGATCCCTTCTCCTGGTGGAAGCCCATAGAACCATAACACCCTGTGCATCCCTGTGCACCCACCCAGGGGAGTTTAGCTTGGGACATGCAGCTCTGCACTGCCTCTGCAGCAAATCCTTCATTCCTCATGCACTGCAGCAGGTGGGAAATGCCACAGCCTCTCTCCCTTTAATTTAGGATTTTCTGCACTGCTCTCAGCCGTTCTTCCATCCACCTCCTCCGCATGATGAGCAGTGCAGGTCCTCTTGGCACCTTCTCAGGGGAGCGCTTTTCTTTTTCCCTTCTTTTTCCCTTCCTTCTTTTCTCTCCCCTTCCTTCTTTTCCCCCTTTTCCCTCTCCTTCCTTCCCAACTCTCTGCCTTTTCATCTTCCCACCCTTGTGCCCTCTTCTCTGCTCCAGCTCAGGGAGGACTTTGCTATACCCAGGTGCATCAAAATTAAGATCTGGACTCGCAAACAGCACCACTTTACTTTTATTTTCCATGAAGCATTCCAAATTTTGCAGTCCCTTTTCATGCCATGATGGGCACTGCACTGATGCCCACAAACACACTGGGAAGTGCAGAGCCATGCGGAGCTGCACTTGAAATAAAAACAGTTTTTTGTTGTTGTTTGGAAGGAATATATTTACTGCTTTTATTTGCCTTTCTCTCCCTCAGTCTTTGGGATCCACAGGTTTTGATCTTTCCAGCTGCACTGTCAGCGTTTGGTTTATTGGAGCTGATGCTGTGCTGAGATCACAGGTGGGGCTGCAGGAGAGGACAGCTTCGTTGTGTCAGCTTGGAGGGGGGGCAGGGTGCGTGCATGGAGCTGGCTTTGGTGAGGAGGCAGCAGAAAGTAGATGCTATAAAAGGGCATTAAAAATAGCAAACAGGCACAGAAAGTGGATGTGAAGCTCCCAGTGCCACTCTATGCACTCGCAGGGAAACGTGGGCCTGTGCAATGGGAAAGGAAGCAGTTTTGGAATGGTGCAAAGGGTCCCACACAGCACTGGGGTAAGATCATTTAGCAACAGGTAAAACAGATTGGGAATAAATATATATATAGACAGCCAGGAACCCAGAAACAAGGGCTTGGAGGAGAGCAGCTCTCTGCCTGCCCGCACTTAGAGCTGTGGACTCAGCACCTCCAAATTCCTTGTTTTGTGCAAACATCTCCCAGCTGAGAGCCTCCTTTTCTTCTCATCCCTTCCCCTATTTGCAAACTGCTAACTCTGCTCCCTCCCTCGTCTACCCAATTTAAAGCAATTTACTCGGAGCCAGAGTTGAATTACTCAGCACAGAGTTAACCAGCACCTGCTTGGAGTTAATTGGCATGTGTGTTAATTGCTCTGCGAGAGTCATCCTTGTGAGAAGCACATGAGGAGTGCTGGAGTGGGGGGCGAAGTGGAGTGGGATGATTCCTTTTGCTGGGGCTGCAGAGATTCTCCATTGTCTCGTAAGGGTTGGGCTTTGCCTTTCTGCCAGTATGACATGCTGGGATGTTGTATCAGCCTGGGGATGTCGGCTGCTTGTACCAGGGTGAGGATGGAGATGTGGGTGCCTTTTTGCAGGTGCTGAGCAGAAAGTGGAGTCTGGGAGGGGTGGGCTTTGTGAAACAGCCACCTGGCCAGGAAGCCAGAAAGAATACCTGGCTCTAAAAATACATTGGGGAGGGTGGGGGATGCTCCAGCACCCCCAAAACCTCAACTAAAACACCAGGAGAGAAAAGGGCTGGGGGGAAGGGGATCTGTATTGGTGCACCTTTGCTTACAGCTCAGCGAGGGAAATGTGGTTTGGTGCCCAAGCAAGGGCTGAGCTGGGCTTTGCTCATCTGCAGACCCTTTGGAAATGCAGTGAAGCTCTTCCACATCCTGGGAAGAAGTTCCCCAAATGAATAAGGTTAAAATAATGCTTCCTTTCGCTTGGCTTGGATTTACTGCTTGTGTTCTCCAGTGCTTACTGCTGCTACTGGGGATGTGTGCTGTCAGGGTTGGATGGCCAATGTGTTGTCATCCCTTGGGAGGGTTTCCTTCTCCCAAGTGTTGCAGCACAGGGAGGGATCAGCATGCTGCCTTTGCTCTGGGTGCAGAGCTGCTGCTTGGTGCTGAGGATGGGGACGGTGCATTGGCAGCTGCGTTGCAGAAATGCCACCTCCAAGGGGAAAAGCTGCAAAGGAAGCCTTGCAGAAAGTTCTTCCTCCTCCCCCCACTTTTCTCTGTGCATGCAAAAACCTTATGGCTCCCAGCTTGCTCCTGCACAGGGTGATGCAGGTTGCACCACTGCTTGGCTGGGAGGGGATGCACGCAGCAATTTGGATAAATGATGATCAACAAATGCAATCTCAGCATGCTTGCCCTTGCACTAATCTTTCCAGTTGGGATTTATGGAGAAAAAGAAAAGGGTTTCTACTGTCCTTCACCTCTCTGGGCTTCTGAATGCTTGGCTGCTCCAGGGAGCAAATACTGGGTGATGGAAGGGGGGATCATCCTCTTCCCCTTCCAGTGCTCAAATCAGCTCTGAGTTTGCCCAGTGCAGTGCATGATGAATAATTGTGCCAAAAAAATAAATAGGGCGAGTGACTCACAGAGCTCTGAGCCCTGAAAAATAAAGTGGGGGGAGAACTAGGGGGGGTCCACTGGGGCTGGGCTGGCGAAGGATGGGGCGAGGGTCCCTGGAGGGTAGCTGTGGGACTGTGGGATAGGACGGGAGCTCAGGTTTTAGGTGCTGGGAGAGGGAGGAGGTTCTCTCTGGTCACATCACTTGTGAGCAGCCTGAGCGCTTGGTTCTGCCAAGTGGAGGCAGATAGGGAGCTATTCTGGGACTGGCGTTTCCCTCAGCCTGAGCCTTGGCACGGGGCACCCTTGTGTTAAGTGCAACGTTATCACTGCCCTTATTCAGCCACTCGAAGAAAGAACATGGAGAAAAACAGGAGGGAAAGGCACTCAGTGCCTCTGCTGCCCTATCCCACCCATTGTACTGAGAAATGGGGGTGCTGTGTTTCATGGGGTGCCCTGCCCATGCTTCCTTCTCTGTCCTCCTTTGCCCTGCCCCTAAGAATTAGGTTTCTGTGCCTGGTTATACAGTCATATTTCTTTCTTTACTTTGAGTAATCAAATAAAGACATTTTAAAATTCAACATTGGAGATGTATGCAGGAACTGGAGATGGATTTAAATTGCCTGAGCTAATCACCAGCTGCTTGTGGCATTATTAAGAGGAAAAAAAAAAAAAGGAGTCATCATGTCCTGGGAGGATGGTAGTGATGGCATGCTGGGGGGTTCCCTGAAATTGGGAGGGATGGGGTGCCACCACATCTATGGGCTTGGATCTCACTTCTGCCTCTGTCCCTGCAGGTTTCTGATGGCTCAGCCCCACTGGACTCGCCGGAGGGTGCCATGAACTGAGCGCCCAGCTCCTTTTTGTTTGGTTTCCCTTGGTTCTTCATCGCTCCCTCTCCCTCCCCCCACACATTTTTCATGAGAACATTTTAAAAGGGGGTTCCTCTCGCACTCCCCTGAGTGACGCTGTGCTGCTGCGGTGAGGATCTCCTGAGAAGATGGGGAGGAAAAAGATCCAGATCCAGCGGATCACAGATGAGCGGAACCGGCAGGTGCGTCCCCCCCGATATACCAATTCTCACATGTTTTGAGAGTCTCATTAACTCCCCACTTGCATCCCTTTTGGGCCAAGCTCTGCTTTTATCATCCAGCCCATAATACTAAGCCATAGAGGCTGGGTTCGGGCTACTTGCAGCAGATGCCCCAAGCCCAGCAGACCACCCTGTTTTCCTATACCAAGTGCAGAGCTGCTCACACCTAAGCCCTTTCTAGAAGAAAGCATCCTCCTCACTTAGCTGCCACTTCTCTTCTCTTGCAAAAAACATATTTCATTTGACATTTTCCACAAGGCTTTTCCAATAAGAAACAACCACGACAAGGATCCATTTTTCTAAATGCTAGCAACCCAAAGGAATTTTAATTCTTTTCAATGGGGTGCTAACATGTGTCCAGGGCTTTTTCCTCCTGCCAGATTTTCACTTCACTGACATGGAGCTGTTGACACATGTGCGTATGTGTACATGCACAGATAAACGCATCCATGCATCTTACAGGGAAAAAAACACCATTTCTTCCTAATTTTCATCTTGCTGAGTCCAAGCTGCAGAGTGGCAGTGCTTTGCTGGAGCAGCTTTGCTCTGTGGTTGCTCCACTATTGTATTTCCTGAGCACGTGGAGGACATCCAGTGCATGCTGCACTTTTCTACTGCTTTTTTATTTGTCCTCCAGGAAAAACAAACTGTGCTGTCTATCCCTAATGCTTGAGAAGTGGCAGATAGCAGAATGTGCTGAACCATCCTCTTGCTCCTCAAACAATAGAAAATGGCAGATTTTCTTCATTATTTGGTGATTAAGGGATAGGATGGCGTAAAGTGTCTTTGCTAATGACTCTGATAGCTCGTGGCACTGCTCATTTCCATAGCAAGCAGGGCTTTGGGGTTGTTAAAGAAGCTGGGGTGTGCTTGCTGGGGATGTGCAGGGGAGTGTGGTGCTGCACGCACGCAGCCAGCCCTGTTTGGAACTGCAGCAAATGGAAAATCTGTGGTCATGCTGGAGCCAGTGGCACAGCCCAGCACTGTTGTGTAAAGCCTTCAGGATGGGAAAGGAGCATCTTGCTGCCAGCACCGGCAGCCAAGGCAGCAGGAGGCATTTGGGGCTGTGGTGTGGGGGTCTGCAGCCCTTTCCCACAGTCTCAGATATGCAGTGAGCCTCAGGTCCCTGGGCTGGTTGTCTTGCTCCAGCTCACTGCTCTCCCGGCGCTGCTGCAGGCAGATATTCCATCTGGAGATGGGAACATTGTGGCCGGGGGATGCTGGAAATGGGGGTCACCCGCAGAGCCTCCCTGCTGTGGCTGCTCCTGGTCCAGCAACAGTCATCCTTACGGTGCGGGGAGTGCAAGCCTGCGTGGAGGGGACTGGGATTACAGCAGAAGCCAAACCCAGGGGAGGAAAGCAAGTAAGAGTCTCTAATGTCATTAGGGGAATTACTGGAGAGGATTTGCCAGAACAGATCAGACCATCAGTCCTTCAGGGCCAGGCTGCTGACTCTGGCAGTGACCAATATGGTCTGCATCAGGGGAAAGGCAAAAATCCCCTGGTAGTGTAGGGCTGTGTGGGGCAGTAATTCCTTCCTGACCCCTTTGGTGATCGGCTTATGCCCTGAAGCATGAGATTTGATTACCCTCTTAGACTTATAAGGTTAATTCTTTGAGATGGGGCACGTGCCCACATGCATCTCAGCCCCTTTGCGTGGCACAGCAGGGTTTGGTGTTTCCTTGCCCTATAGCTGCTGGATGTGTAGGGCACATGTAGCTGATGCTGGTTAAAGGGTAGATGTGTGCTTTTGTCTGCAAGGAGAGCCGTGGGCACCAAGAAAAAGGTCTGCTTGTCACTGCTCAGATTGCCGTTTCATTCTGGACAGGTGACCTCAGAGCTGAGGGGATCCTGAGATGTTCAGGACAGCCCCAAGCTCTCGGTGGTTTCGGATCCCTGGGTGATGCAGGGCAGCAGGATGCCTGCTGGCCACGTGAGCTTGCACTTGGAGCTGGGGCGAGTGATGCACGTGGTGGAGAGCAGCGGGTGAGGTGATTAGAGCCCAATCTCGTTACTGCTTAATCATCTTCAGGAGATGGCTGGGAGGGATGAGATGTGCTCCAGCTCCAGCAGCAGGGATGGGGAGGCATGGGCTGTGCCTTCACAGGTCACTAGGTGCATGCTAGGCTGTGGCGACGATGCCTTGGGAAGCTCAGGCTCAGCTCCTGTGGCACTGCTGAGCCAAAGTCTCATTGAGCTCCTCCCTCCACACCTCAGGCTGGAGCTGCTCAGCTTCAAGATCAATGCTGTGACTGTGGTCCTAAGTGGGATTGGGCCCTACCTTGCATGCAGGCATCAAGGGAGCAGCCTTCCAGCACTGCATGGTGTCACAGCTGGTTACTGCCTATGCCCCAGCATGCTGCTTCACACGCACTTGAAGCAGTGTGGGAGCCTTTCCTCCATGCTTTTTTATTTCTTTCCTCTGGCTTTTTGTTAAGAAGTAAGTGTTGCACCTTTCTCCACTTGGGGGGTTCAGGGGCATTTTGCAGTTGCTTAGAGCATCCATGGATGCTGTGTCTGGGATGAGAAGCCCCAACCAGTCCCTCCAGCCAGTTGCATCCTGGTGGGTATTGGTGCAGACTGGGAATCACTTGGGTTTGGAGCCTGCACCCTGCCCTAGCCATGGCCACCTCCTGATGTGCAACTCTTCCTCCTTGAGATGTTCAGTGCTCATGCAAGGTATCAGGAGAGCAAGAAACAGTGCTGGTAGGTGGAACATGCAGCTCTCTGACCTCTGGGGCACAAAACTGCACTTCACACTTGTGCTTTCCAAGCTAGGGCCGGATGATATCCAGGCTGCTGTGGTGAGCTAGGAAGAGCTCTGCTCTGCGAGAATATTCAACTTAAAACCCCCCAGCAACCCGCAGCCCCCGAACAGATGGTAGCTCTGCTGGGAAATTTGCTGAAATTTATTTTCTCTTGATTTGGCAATATGCAATTTCCAATGCTGATAATCATCTCTGCGTTTGTGAAGTGTCTGCCTTGTGAGCCCAAAATAGGCATCAGCACAAATCTGTTGGGCCATGCAGAAGAGGGAGGTGGGAGAAGAGAGCTTGGGATTGTTGTCCACTTGGGGAAGCTGAGTAGAAGAGGTGTCTTCCTGCTGTTAGCTTCTTTTGGCTTCTCCTCCAGTGTTCATCCCAAATCCCTTCTGTTTGCTTTCAGGTGACCTTCACCAAGCGCAAGTTCGGCTTGATGAAGAAAGCCTATGAGCTGAGCGTGTTGTGCGACTGCGAGATTGCCCTGATCATTTTCAACCACTCCAACAAGCTGTTCCAGTATGCCAGCACCGACATGGACAAGGTGCTGCTCAAGTACACTGAGTACAATGAGCCCCATGAGAGCCGGACCAATGCGGACATCATTGAGGTGAGGCCACATCCATGTCCCACTATAATAGGGCTGGGGCTGGGAGGAGGTTGAGCAGGACATGAGGGGAATGAGCAGACCACCAGGCTGATTTGGCATCTTTTTTTTGGTCCGTCTTTGGTGCTATTAGAAGTCATCTGGAGTTATGTGCTGGTTTACTGCTGTGAAATGGAGGTGCAGTGTGGCTTTTTGGGATTTTCCAGGTAAATCAGGTTGGGTTTTGGAAGCATCTCTCAGGGCTGCAGCTGCCTCTGTGAACTGTGTCATTTGTACACAGTGGGGCTACAGGAGGGCACCAGCAGCTAACACCAAGTGACATTGGCTGGGGAGGCCTTTGAGTGGCTCTCCTCTGACCTCTGCTCAAAGCACAGCCTGCCTCCCACTGTGTTGATGGAGGTGCATTTTATGAGTCCTGTCTGACCCAGCTCTGTGGCAGGGATGACAACGGCATAGCGTTCAACCCTTGCTGAGGCTGGCAACACCCACTGCCTCCCCCTGCATCCTCCAAACCAGCAGCCTTGCAGGCTGTTCTCAGCAAGCCCACTCTGGCCATCCCCACCACATCCTCGTCATTCCCGTGTACCATTCTGGAGCATAGGATGCTCGCTAAGCTCCCCAGCCACATTGTGGCAATGGTGTGACAGAACCACGCGTGTGTCACTCATCAGCTGCAAGCTGTGTGTGGGCAGCTCCCTTTACGCATGGGCAAATTCAGACAAATGCGAGGGCTGCCTGGGTAATTATTGACATTATGGGCGGGCATCAATTAGCACCGGTGGAACCGTTAGTCACTTTGGGGCTTGCTTGGTGAGGATGCTGCAGACCGTCCTCTCCTGCCACTTGGACCTGTGATTTCTGCCTTTGAAGCCCTCTGGTGCAATTCAGCCACCTCAGGCAGTGAGCTCAGGCTTTGATTTCATAAAGAAAAAACAGACAATCCCACAACCTAGCTCAAAAAATCTGGATTTTTTTGGGTTGTGTTTTTTTTTTCTCCACCTCCCTGAAGCATCTCTTTGTGAGCATTTTGAAACAGCATCCACTGTCTGTGCTCCTGCTCAGCACCAAGCAGCCAACAAGCACCTATCTGTTGACTTTCCTAATTGTTCAGAACGCTCTTTCTGGATGTTATTTGAAGCACTGGTAGTAGCCTTATTCTGGGAACAGTAGGGCCTCATGCACCTCAGTTGCTGATTTCACAGCCACGGTTCCCTGCCTCGCTCGTTGGTGCAACCTTGCCCAGCCTCCCCAGGATGCTCATACTGGAGCTCGCAGCATTGAACAGATTTGTCTCAGCCTAAAAATACCATAAACATTTTGGGCAGCATTCTCTGTTCCCTTATGGTCCAAGATGCAAACACTCCCAAGCCGACAAGTTACACGCAGTCCTTGGCACCCAAAGAAATGCTGTGTTTGCACCACATGAAAAGATGAATCTGCATCCAAAGCTGGAGAGGGGAACATGGGAAGCGGAAGGACACTGGCGGATGGTGAGGAGAGGAGCCGAGGCTTGGCATGTCTAGCCAGCAGAGCTGCTGTCATCTGCTCTGAGATCCTGTTCAGGCGGGTTCAAAGCCATTCAGGCATCCATCCTCGTCCTCAACCCTTCTCCTTGTGTGCAACAGGGCTTGGACTGCTCCAGGATGTTTCTGTTTTCTATTTCAAACCCTGCCAGGACCCTTCCTGCCTGTGGAGTTGACTAGATTCAGACTGGGTCTCACTAGAGCCCCAGTTCTGTGCAGGTTCTAGATGTCTCACCTATCACATCTTCACAGCATGTCTTGTCCTTGGAGGTCATGGTGGGAGGCTTGGCAAGCACAGCAGTGGAGTCAGGATCGTGCTCTACCCTATGTACCCTATGGGCAAGGAACAAAGCTGATTGTGAGGTCTGCATTTTGTTTGGAGATGTTTGAGCAGCTGAAGGGGTCACTGCCTCTGTGTGGCACCCGTGTCCCATTCCTGTAGGAGAGACGGAGCCTTGTGTGTCTCCAGAAGCACTTTAGGGGTATGAGGAGGGGGTGACACAGGCCTGGCCAGAGGGGCCTTGCACAGCACAGGGACTCAGGCCTGGTGGCAATGGGGCCTTGCATGGTACAGGGACTCAGTCCTTTCAGCATCAGGGCCTTGCACAGCACAGGGATTCAGCAGACAGCAATGGAGCTTTGCATGGGACAGGGATTGGAGCCTGGTAGCAGTGGGGCCTTGCATGGCACAGAGACTCAGGGCTGGCACCAATGGGGCCTTGCATGGCACGGGGATTCAGCTGGCAGCAGAGGAGCCTTGCATGGCGCAGGGATTCAGGTCTGGTGGCAGTGAGGCCTTGCACAGCACAGGGATTCAGAGCTGGCAGCAGTGAAGCCAAGCTCTTGGGATGAGGCGCTCGGTGCAGCAGGAGGGGTTTGAGCCCTCCGCTCCCTGCCTAGCCCAGTCCTGACTGCTACAAGCTTTTAAGTCTGAGAAAATCTCTCTGACTGCAGTGAGGGGGAGAAGGGGGGGGGTCCTTAATCGCAGGGCCCGGCTGAGGCCTCAGACAGGCACGCTGAGTGCCACGTGTGCGCCTGGCTGCGGATCACGCCGGCTTTGCTCCTCGCTGTCGCTTCTCGTTTCCCGAAGCCCAGCTGATGTGCCAGCTCCTGGTGAGGGACGAGGACAGGGCAGGGCTGTGGGGACCGGGATGCTCCAGGTCAGGCAGTACATCCTCTGCTTTCCCTGGCTGTATGGCAGCAGGGCTGGCTCCTGCCTTGCTCCCCATTCCGTTGCTGCAGGAGGTGGAGGGGCACTGTGTCCTGTTCCTTTCCATCCTTCCCCAAAGTCAGGAGTTGTTTAGATTGCAGCCACCCTCCTTTAAGGGAAGTCGGCTGCATCCTGGCCGAGCATCGCTTCCTCTCACATGCTCTGGGTTTCCTGCTGCTCTCCCACCCTCCTCGAGTTAAAACCTGCACCTGAACAGGGTGTTAGCAGCCACCAAACTAGCACTGGACCAGGAAAGGGCTTTTTTTTTTTTTTTCCTTTGTGGGGTGATGTTCTCACCCTGGTTTTATCCTTTGAAATTTTTTTGAGGTGAAGAAATTCAGTTGAAATGAAGTTTAAATGAGAAGAGGTCGTTTTCCGTTGCATTTCAGCACTGTAGGTTTTAGGAAGGAGGGATTTCCTTTAAGTTTTGTGAACGGAGATGGGTGGGACAGCTGGCCATGATGCCTGTGAGGAGAAACAGCGCAGCATGGGCACAGCCCCTTATTAGACACCAGAGAGTCTCCCAAGCACAGAGCTCCTGTTGCACGCATCTGTAGGAAACACAGCTTCATTGCTTCCATGGCTCATGGAACAATGTTTTCCACTTTGCCTCTGAAAGAGAAAGAGAGAGGGGGAGGAAAATCTCTTTTTTAAGCAAGGAGGGAGACTCAACTTTCCAGCTGCCTCAGTGAAACAAAAGATTTGGGGAAAGAATTTTGCAAAAATATGGTTTCCAAAAAAAGGCAAAGCCCGTCCCTTCCCCACTGCAAGAGCATGGCACATTTTTTTGTGTGTGTTGTACGAAATACAAACAAGGGCATGCACAGAAATAGCAAAATAACTGGGAAGAATCGTCAGGAGCCTTCAAAGAGTGGCCTTGAGAACCTCCCTTTGGCTGAACCCTCGAGTTGAGCCCCAGCACTGGTGTCTGGGCAGCACAGATTGCATGTGCTGCCAGCTATGCCAATAGAGTGCATTCTGCTGGAGCTGCCCCTCCTGTGTAAAGGGGAAACAAATGATACCAATTAGCAGGATTTGGGGGTATGGCAGCACCAAGTGGGGCTTCACACACCCCCGTGTTCTGCTGCTGCGTGTAAAGGCATCACTATGGGTGCAATCCAAAGAAGGAGCGTAAAACTTGTGGACGTGAAGCATGCGTTCTGAAAGGGTTGTTTCTTTTGGAGAGGTGATGTCAGAATCTGCTGGTTTTTCTTGCTACTGCTGCTAAATTTAACATGTGAGCACGATGGCTGGCAAAATGGTGTTGGTTTCTGCAAGCCTGAATGACGTAGAAAGTGGCTCACATTGAAGCACGGGTGCAAATACCGAGGGGTTTCAGCTGGAGGGAGGGGAGCTTGCTGGGGTTGCAGTGGGAGGAAAACAGCTTCTGAAGTGTCCACTGCCCATGTGGCTCCAGGTAGAGCAGAACGGCTCCAGGATGTTTTGGCCTTGAAGCAGAGATGTTTATAGCTATGTAGGAAGGGAAGAGGAGAATTGTCAAGGCCTTTATTTTTCCCCCTTCTGAATTTGGCATGAAAAGGGATAAAGAATTCCAGGAAATTCTGTAGCTTTGACTTAAAAAAAAAATAAAAAAATAAAAAATTGGCAAGTGATGGTTCCATAATAACGCCTAATTGCTTTTGGTATTTTGAAAATAAAATGATTAAATGTGCATGTGTAACACAATCTGCAGATTGGCTACTGCATGTGAAAAGAGGGACTTTTTGTCCAAACCCTGCTTGGTTTTTTTGCTGAGTGCCCATCTCTCCAAGCTCCTGCACACAGGAGCACAGTACCCAGATGACCAGGACCTGTGCCTGCTTTTTAGCTCTGTTTCCTATGTGCAATAACATCTTATCTATTATTTCTAGCAGGAGGGTGCATCCCATCCTTGAGGTTTATTCCCCCTCCTTGTCATTGTGTTGACTGGAGGTGACAAAACCCTCATCTGAGCTCGTATGGGTCCAAATTCAGCACCAGCATACGCTGATCTTTTGAGATCTAGGAAGTTTTTCCCTCCATCCATCTTTCTGTCCATCCATCTCTATCATTTAATGCCATCCGTGCACAGGTGTGCTAGGGCCAGCCCTGCCGCTGTGCTGCAGGGGCATTCCAGTAGAACCCCACCAGTCCCAGGTCTCAAACTGTCCTGATTGTGTTTTCAGACGTTAAGAAAGAAAGGTTTTAATGGCTGTGACAGCCCGGAGCCCGACGGAGATGACTCGATAGACCAGAGCCCCTTGATGGAGGATAAATACCGTAAAGGCGAGGATCTGGATATCCTGTTCAAGCGATACGGTGTAAGTAGCTGCTCTGTAGCCAGAAAGACTTCATTATTCTGTTTTTCTTCTGTTCGATTTCCCCCCAACCTCGTCCCCACTCCTTTCCCAACACCCCCGCTGCCCCCCCCTCCCAACATCACACAGGCGCTGAACAAGAAGCACAGGGAGTGCGAAAGCCCGGAAGGGGATGAAGTGTTTGCACTGACCCCGCAGACGGAAGAGAAATATAAAAAGATTGATGAGGAGTTTGATAAAATGATGCAGAGTTACCGGCTCGCAGTGAGTAGCTGGTGGCCTGCAGCCCCTCCCGCCCCGGCTGCCTCTGGGTGACGGGGTCTTGCATGGCTTTGCTTTGGAGCCGTGCTGTGCCATGGGAACCGGGGCCCTGAATGCACCCAGAGGAGCAGGAAACTAGGAGAGAGAAGGAGGGAAAGTGGCTCTGGGGGAAGCAGCACCAGGAGCTGTTGCGGACCCTCTGGTCTCCCACCTGGAGAAGTGGGAGCAGCCCCTGGGTGACTCAGCCAGTTCCAGCATCCCTGGGCTCTGGGTCAGGGCTACCTCTGCCCCTTGGCCATGAGTACTGGATTTGAGTCTCCTTGGCCATCCTTTTGCCCCCATAAGGGGTTTTCCCTGGGTTAAGAGCCCCAGGCCCCCGTGCGCTAGCAGGGAGGATCACTGGGTCAGCCCACTTTGGGCCATTTTGCCTTAATTCCACCCAAATCCATCAAGCCCTCAGGGCAGCTGGTGGCCATGGCAGAAATCCAGTGAGGTTTTAGCCCGTGATCCCAGGCCCATCAGCGGGGTGGCATCAGGACAGCGCTGGAAGGGATTTGTGTCAGAAGACGGGAGGGGGAACGCGTGTCAAATTAGTTGTTAGCAGTGGGAGCGAGGGCTGTTGGTGCAGACAAACCTCCTTCAGTGGGATTAGCCCTGTGTCACTGCAGCCATCATTAACGCTGCTGGGAGCAGAGAGGCTAATATTGAAGGGCTGGATGCAGCGATAGGAAATTACACAGTCCCCTCCCCCTCTTAAAAAAAAAAAAAAAAAAGAAAAAAAAAGATATCTGCCCTTCCACGCTTTGCGAGCCCACACAGGTTAAAAATTCTGGCTTTTCAAGAAAATTGGGTCTTGAAATCCATCCCCCTTGGTTTTGCTGACTCAGCTTGCAGAGCACAGTGTGCACGAGGCATTTTGCCTCGGTGGCAACTTGCTTGTTAGGCAAGAGATTTTGACCCCACCAGGGCTTGCTTCGGGTGGAGGCACAGCTCTATCCACTTGCAGCCCCTGCACTAGCCCTGGCCTGCCTGTGGTTTTGGGCAGGGGGCACTCGGGTGCTAGGGGTTCAAGGCAGAGCATCCGGCTCCCTGACTAAACCCCTGCAGTGCAGTGGGGATGGAGCTGTTCCAGCAGAGCGTGTGCTGTTGAAGGTGACGCTTCTCCTTTTTAACTAGCTGGAGTGTTTTTGTGTGTGATGAGAACTAACTGGGCTCGTTAGCTAACAGCAGCTGTGTTCGCTATGGAGAGTCTTCTGTGCTCGGAGCGTGTTTGCAATGGCTTTTGACAAAATCAGACATCTTTAGGCTTGGCTGATGTGTGCATCTTCTCCCCAGATTTTGGAGTGAGGTGTGAGCATGTCCAGGAAGCCCCTGTGCCCCCAGCTACCCCCAGGCACTGGTGCTGGGTCCCAGTTGCACACTGGCCTGGCAGCAGCCTGGAGATACAGGGGCTGGATGCTGCTCTCTGATCATCCTCACTGAGAATGTGAGGCACCGGGTTTGCTCTTCATTCCCTCTTCTGGGAACGCACACATGTGCTTACAGTGATTTATTGCACAATGCTGCCACACTGTTCACACACCTGACAAAACCTGCCAGGCTCCCCATGGCTCCCCACCTTTTTTTTTTGTTGTTTGCAGCTAAGCAGGGCCAGGGCTGTGTTAAGGCTTGTATAGCCCTGGGAGGGGACACGCCAGTCCCCAGAGCCCTTGGAGCCGTGCTGCAGTGCCAGCTCGGGGCCACAGGATCTCTGAAGGACAGGATGCCCTTGAGCGGGTGGGAGGGTTTCCAGCAGTGAGCTCGGTGAGCACCATCCCTTCTTCCCTCCTCTCCTCTCCCCTTAAAGGAATTCAGCCACCAGGAACAGCGCCCTATAACACCATGGTGCTGGGTACTTGGCTCCCTCCACCTCTGCTGGTGTGTTTGGTGGGGACACTGGGTGTTGCCTGGTGGCACTGAGTGCTCTGCTTTCCCAGCCCTTGGCAAATTAAAGTGGGATTTTAACAAAGCCCCTGCTAAAGCCTCTAAGCAGGTGCCTGTTCCTGTTAATGAAGAGCAAATCAGTGACATAAGAAAGGCTGATGGGATAATCACGGTGAGTCTGGTTCCTGTGGGGACGCTGGTAGGTGAAGCTGGTCCTCGACCTGCAGACAAGGATAGGGCTTGAGCCGTCCTTCTGCTCCCACTGGGTCACCTCCTCCTCCTGCCCCACAGCTCCCGGTGGTAGAAGGACAGACCTCAGTGTCACCTGGAGGGCATGAGGCGGTGCGAGCCTGTCCCTGACACTCAGTGCCACTCTGCAGAGGGGCAGAGGGCAGTGCTTCAAGGGGCACCCCACAGCACTTCTCCCCTCTTTGATGCTTTGAGCTCTGAAAACATGACGGGTAAATAAATATGGCCTAAAAGAAAGAGAAAGCAGCCAGTGGAAAATCTGTGATGTGTCTAGGCAGACTCTGTGCTGTTCCACAGGAGTCTGTCTGGGCTTCTGTGCCAGTGCTGCCCCAAGATGCTGAGATGGATGGGTACATCATGCCCCATGCAGATGGGAGTGCAGCAGTGTGGAGGTTTGGGGTGCCCACACTGACTCCACTGCAGCCATGGGACGGTGCTGCCAATCCCAGGCAGGATCTGCTCCCCCCTTGCTCGGAGCCTGCATAGTGAGCACTTCCTTCTGCCTGCTCCCCTTCACCTCCTGCTCTCTCTCTTCAGTCTGCAGTGCCCACGCCAAACTTTGCCATGCCAGTGACGGTTCCTGTGACCAACCAGAACACGCTGCAGTTCAGCAGCCCGGGCAGCTCGTTGGTGACCCAATCCCTGGTGACCTCATCGCTGACTGACCCCCGGCTCCTCTCACCACAGCAGCCAGCACTGCAGAGGAACACCGTGTCCCCAGGGTTGCCGCAGCGGCCAGCCAGCGCAGGTGAGTGGTCCTACATCCCCTCTGCAATAAGGCCAAAGCTCCAAGTGACCACTCCCTGCCCAGGGAGCACCCTTGCTTTTCCAGATCAGGATATTTCACATCAGGCGGTGCGAGGGGCTGAGTCACCCAGTGTCGTTCCCAGCCCAGGTCTGGCTGCTTGTGTCCCAGCGCCGCCAGAGACGTGGGACCGCTGCCTAAAAAGGGCTTTTCTTTTTGCCTCAGCCTGCGGTGGCTGCAGTTGGTCGCTGAGTGATTACTCACACAGACCTGCTGACAGATCCGAGGAGTGGTCCTTTCCAGCGGGGACTGGCGTGGGGTGGTGAGAGCAGGTTGGGGAAAGGCTCTCGTCACTCGCGCTCCCTGCAGTGAGGGGGACATGTGACCGCAGCCCGACTCTCCTGCGGTGCCATCATAAATAATAATAGCACGCAGAAAGCCCCTGCCTGCTATTTTGGTCCTTGCAGATGGTCTGTAAAAGTCGTTTGGGCTGCAAATGGCAGAGGCAGTGTTGGTTTGGCTGCCCAGGCTCTCTGAAAGCCTAGAGGAGCTGGGCCTGAGGAGCAGGGCCCCAGGTTTCAGAGGAAAAGGGACCTTTTTGCTGGTCCCAAAGAGCAGCATCTCCCTCCTCTGCTGTGGCTCTGTCTGTAAACATCACCCCTGCCCTCTTGCTGGCCTCTGCAGAAAAAAAGAGGCTTTACTGTCAAGCAGAGCCTGCTCAGTGCTTGCAGTTTCCATCCAGCTCACAAAACATTTGTTTCAAGGGGGAATAATTTTGTGGTTGCGAGCACTGAGGTGTTCCAAGTCCAACCATCTGCATTTCATTCACTCGCTGCCTGGGACACGGAAGAAATCCTGTTTATAGGAGCCAGACCCTTGCATGTGAGACAAGCTATTTCTTTTATATATATATATATATATATTTATTTATTTATTATTATTAATAATTTTATTTTTTTTTTAACAATGAAGTCAAGAGGAGTGCAGAGAGCTGTGTTATTGTTTCCAAAGCAAAGGCAGTGCTGGCACAGTGCTTGCTCAGTGCTCACTGGTGCCGTCTGCTCAAGGACTTCAGTGCAACCAAGACCCTGCTTTGCATCCCCATCCCCCGAAGGGAGCGTGGTGCTTGCCATGCTCTAGGGACTCTGTACCCTTTTGCCAAGCTGTAAAGTATTTTTGGGACCACGACTCCCATGATCATGCTTTCACATGGGGAACAAATGCCTTTCTTGTGCAGCAGCACTCCGGCAATTCTGCTTTCGAGGACCTGCTGCCACCCTGAGCCCTGCTTTGACAGCAGTGGCTGGAGGCAGTTTCCTGTCTTGGGGTGATGGAGCTGTTATTGGGCGGTCTGAGGCCCCTGCTATGCTTTTCCCAGTGCTGTCCAAGTATTCACCTCCATGCAACAGAGCCATGGAAGGCAGAGTTGCAGCAGCGCTGGCAGTGTTAAGGGTGGTTTCCATTTGGTGGAAACGTTACAGGGCAGATAGTGTTTCACACTGTGCTGTTGGGGCTCATTTCCCTGCAGCTCAGCCCCTGTGTACCTCCAGAAGGCTTGGAACAAAATAGCCACAGTGTTTTCCAAGCCGTGTGCTTTGGACCAGGCCCCTGTGCCGCCTGGCTGCTGCCCAAAGGAAACGGATCTGCCTGGATATTGTTTCCAAACCTGATCACCAGGAATGCTGCTCATTTTGCCCAGGACTTTCTCACCGGGAATGCAGCACTGCTGATTTTCCTTTGCCTTCCTCCCTCCCCCAGGAGCGATGCTCAGCATGGCCCTGACTCCATGTTTCTGGTTGTTTTCTAGGGGCGATGCTTGGGGGTGACCTAAACAACACCAACGGAGCTTGCCCAAGTCCTGTGGGTAAGTGAGGAGTGGTGTGGGGCTGGCATTAGCAGGCTGGGTTCTTTTCTCTCTTCTATGCCTCAATTTCCCATAAATAACACATAACATAATTTCCTTTCAACCCAACACATTTGGTGAATGGAGAAGTGCTAAGGAGGGTTTGGCAGTGAGAGGCTTTGCCGGAGATACCCCAGGCTAGCCTCTCCACAACGTTCCATCAGAGATAGAGGGAGGTGATGTGCTTTGTGGAGCTGAGATTCATCCTTGCTCTTTGGGAAAGCTATAAACCAAGGAGCTTTGGCTTTTGGCAGGCAAAAGAGGACCTGATTTGGGCAGCCGTGGCTTTAGCACCCCGAGCTGAAAACCACTCCTCCGCTGACCTCAGCTGAGTTACTTAACACCTGATTCCTCCATGCACTTGGGCTCTGTAAAGGAACTTTACAGCAAGGAAAAGAGCTCATTAAGGCCCCTTTCCACTGCGAGAGCCCCAGCACTAACTCAGTTCAGACCGTGTGGCTTAGCTCCCCGGCTATAAAATGAGCTAATAATGCCTCCTGCCCGTGGCTTGGGTCGGCCAACATGCAGCCTCTGGCATCTGCTGTCCCAGGCAAGCAGAGCCCTGCACCCTGATTGTCCCTTTTGATGCTGGCTTTACCAGGGGCTCACTCTGGAGAAGCCTGGCATTTGGCATTAGCCCCAGCGAAACCCAAACTGGTTCAGAAACAGTTCTGCAGCTCCGCCGTTCCGCTGCCAGCCCGTGTGGGGATGCAGTGGCTTCTGCTAGAAGGGAGGGGGGCTGTGGTGCTGCACCTCCCCACCCTGCTGCCCCCCAAAGCCACCCGCCGCCCCCACGTCAGCTGTTGTGAGCAGCCGTGGCAGCGCGGAGCTTGGCAGAGCTGCTGAATGTCAGCATTGACGTCACCGCAGCACCGCAGCATTCCCCGCGTTCCTGCCGCCGCTCCAGGAAACGGGCGTGAGGAGTGGGGACGGCCAGCCCTGCCTGCCCTCCATCCATGGGGCTCCCTGCCCCAGCACTGGAGCCCAGGGGGCTTCTGAGTACCTAGGGCATCTCGTCCTTCTGTCCTCCTCTTCCTCGCACGCTCTGCTGTATTGAGGTTACCTGCAGCTTCTGAGTCATCAGCCACGGGTGGCTGTGGCCTGGATTCTGCAGTGGTGCAGGCAGTGTGCCTGGCTGCTGCCTGTGCAGCGTGCCATGCAGCACCTTGCATCTGGAGGAAACACCCTGCCCACCCCTGTACTCACTGTGTCCATCAGCCTCCCTGCGTTTGGGCATCTTTACGCTTTTAAGAAGTTGCATTTGTGCATTTTTTCCTGTGCAGAGCAGCATGTAGTTGTTCTGGCTAGGCAGAGCATGGCAGGAATGGGGCAGGTGTTTTACTTCACTAGACACATCCATGCCAACCCCATAGCACTGGTGTCCTGCCCACCCACCCCAACTGCTTCCCAAGGTATGTGGCAGCATACCTTGAATTTGTGGTTGCCATTGGAGCTGCATGCGTGCGCCTTGGTGTTAATGCCATCTTAGCAACGAGATCGTCAAATTTTAACTTTCCTTTAGGCTCTGTTCCCATCTCAGGTTGGGGACAAGATTGTGTCCTCACCAGGTTCATCCTATCCCCAGTGTGCCTGGCCTGGGACGGCAGTGGGCACCTGCCATGGCTGCAGCATTGCCGCTGCCAGCTGAAATGCAGATGTAGAGCAATGGTAGATGTGATTAATAATGCAATCAGCGACCTATTTTTCCTGGTCTAACGTGCAGTGAATATGAGGGCTGAATCCTGGTGATTGCTAAACGCCTTTCTATCTTTGGGGCCTATTCATAAAAATAAAAAAAAAAAGCCCTCATCAGAACAGTAATCTGATCCAATTTATTCCTTTCCTGATGTTCATCAAATCTTTTCCTTTTTAAATTTTTTTTCTTCCTTCCCTTTCTTCTTTTTTTTTTTTTTTTTTTGCCTTCTCTTCTTTGCACATAAAATCCTTAAGTGGGGCAGTGGGAGGAGGAGGAGGGACTCTCAGATCTTCAAAGGGGCAGTGGGATCAGTGCGCCAGGTCTTCCGCTCTGCCCACAGCCCTTTTTGCAGCTCTGCTGCCAAAAAGCACCTTCAAAAGTGAACGTGAGAGTAATTATCTGCCTCGACAGGGCCCTTCTGCCCTGCTACGAGCAGCATGCAGAGGTCGTGCTGAAGGCAGCACTGCAGTGTTGTAGTGGTGCCTGTGGGCTCCTGCAGGCGAGGAGCTGCTCAGTGCATGGGGCTCAGGTCTGCTCAGTGCATGGGGCTTGGGTCTGCATCCCTGCTCTGCACACCCAGGACAGCTTTGCAGGGTTCACCATCACCATGCATTTACCTTGTGGCTGTTCTCCTGCAGGCAATGGCTACGTGAGTGCTCGTGCCTCCCCTGGTCTCCTTCCTGTCTCCAACGGCAGCACTTTGGGCAAGATCATCCCAGCCAAGTCCCCTCCACCACCACCCCACAGCACGCAGCTCGCCACCAACAGCCGCAAGCCGGACCTGCGCGTCATCACCTCGCAGAGCGGCAAAGGGCTGATGCACCACCTGGTGAGCAGCGCCGCGTGGCACTGCAGGGAGCTTGGCACCAGCGTGGGTTTGGTACAGGCACTGCTTCCCCGCTGTGCCGGTGGGAGCTGGGAGGATTTCCCTTTGTGTTTCCCTTTGCACCGAACCCGTCGTGTGCCCCCAGTTGTGCACGAGTGTCACCGGCGTGCAATGCGTGCCCCATCCCTACGAGCAGCCAGCAAGCGCGGGGTGCGGCGGTGGGTGAGGGCAGCGGGTTAATGGTGCCTCTTGGTTTTCTCCCCATTCCTGTGCGGGCAGACGGAGGATCACTTGGCTCTGGTGAGTGACACTGAGCGCGCATTGTGGTGGGGTTGTGACGTGGGCTGCTTATCCCGTTTGTCCCTGCATCCCATCCTTGGCCAGACAGCCCCTCACTGCCCCCTTCCTAAAGGAGCTAAAAAAAACCCTTGTTTTTAGACAAATCAGAAGGAAGGGCTGAGCTGCAGGCTGTCACACGAGCTGACAGGTGTTTCATCCTCCCTAGGGACTCACCCCATGTGCCTGTGTGCCACACAGCCAACCTGAGCATTGCTGTCCCCATGGGCCTCATGGGGATGGGGAGTAGCACAGGCCCTTTCCTATTTTCCTATGAGGATATTATTTACAGCCTGTTTGAATCCATTGCCTGGCTCATGCGTGCACCAGCCCTTGTTTGTGCACAGGGGCAATTTTCTGTGTTATTTTTATGGCTTTTTTTTTTTTTTTTTTTTCCTTTCAGCAAAGTGAACACCACCTTGTTTGTGGCAGTGATTCACCCTTTTCTGTTGCTATTCTGGTTCAGGGCAGATGGGCGACAGGTCAGCGCAGTGAGGAAAGGACGAGAGCCACTGTAGGATGCAGCAAACACAGCCAGGGAAAAGCTTTCCAAAAGCACAGGAGTGAGGCAGGACCTCTCACAGCCTGCAAGGAGATACTTGGCCAAGGCCAGGACTGGCTGAGGCTTTTGCAGACTTGAATTCTGCTCCTCTCCATGCCCTACAAACCTCCCTTCCCTACCCAAATTCCCGGCAGCACTGTGCCTCAGTTTCCCCACCTGCAGCCTCCAAACAGCCAGCTCCTCCACTTCACCCTTCTGTCTGCCGCAGGGCATTGCCTGGAGGAGCAGCTCGCTTTAGGCAAAAATCAGCCAGGTTAGCATGAATAGTTTTAATTGGAGCTGCCAGGCTGACTCTGCCAGTAGCAAAATGTAGTCCTTGCCCAACCGCAGCTGGCAGTGAGGTGACAGAATCCAGGAGAGGCACAGGGAGCTTGGCACAGCTCTGCAGGTGGGGGCCATCTGCCCACAGCTCTGCAGGCTCAGTGCTGCAGTCGCCCACCTCTCTGCATCCTCTCCCTGCGTGTTGCTACCAGCTCTTATCCTAGCTCTCCTTTCCCTGGGATGTCACTCACCTGCTCTTCCCAGGATGCTCCCAGCCACCCCAGTGTAAGCCATGGTGCTACTTTTAGTGGGATCAGGAAGGTGATACTGCTCCATGTTTCTGCATGGGCTGTTTCCCATTGGAAGCATAGGGCAGAATCTGCTCCACCAGTGCACGACCATGTCACCTGGGAGCATGCCTGCATGGTTTTGTAACAAGCCCAAGTGGCAGCTTGCGACTCAGGGTATTTTGCAACTTATGTGTGGCATCTTGCACGTCAGCACCTTTTGCCTGCATGGTTCGGGATTAAAGCTAACTGCTGCCTTGCAGCATGGCAAGGCCACACACCTGAGACTGCAGGGGATGAACCCTTGGTGATGGTATTTCCCTTCAGCATCCCTGCCCTATGAGGCGGTGGGCACCCCCTAGGGTGACTGCCAGCAGGATGCAAGCCAGGAAAACCTCTGACAGCCTTAGCTCTTTAGCAATTAGCACCCAGCTAATCACCTTCCTTGGCAGCATGTGGGTGCTGCATACCCTTCTAGGACAGGGTTAAGGTGCTGAGTGCACCCCAGGAGGATCCTGTGTTATTGCAGACACCCATGCCTGGCGCTAAAACTCCATGGCAGCCCTGGGTGCTCCTGTGGTGCAGGTGTGTCCCAGGGGATGCAGCAGCCTCGTGCCAGGCATGCTGGGAGCTGGGCATTGCCCCAGGCTTCACGGGGTGACGTGTGCCGGGGTGCTGCAGATTAGAGGCAAGCCTCTTGAGTCTGATTTAAATCAGATCAGCAGAGGCAGCCCAGATTATCTGCCTTGTAAACAGGGCTGAAGCTGACCCGTAGATCTGCCCACGTAACTGCCTGAAGAGCCATGGGGAGAGGCTGGCATGCACCCAGATGAGTGCAGGATTTTTCCACCAGGGACCCTGCTAATGCCTGAGTCACCCCAACCTCGTGAGGGCAGCAACCTCAGGAGCCGCTGAGAACTGGTTTCTAGGATGCCACAGCACCTTTACAATCCTCAGAGTTGTGCCTCATGTCTGCATCTTGTGTTGGAGGCCAGGGGCTCACCAGTTCTGCAGGAGGAGCAGCCCTGTGCAGCACCAGGCACTGATTTTGTACAGTGATTTTCTCCCAGTGCAGTGAAGGCAATCACATGCATCCTCTGGGAAATAGTAGCTGGTTTTGTTTTTGCATAGGCAGGGGGCTGTAAGGATTTGTGCCTTACAAACAGGCATCTCGCTGCTGCAGCACAGAGATGCCCTCCATGCAGACAACCCCCAGCCCTGAGCAGAAAAGTGATCCAGGGGCAGTGCTCCCTGAGCTGCCTATGAGCTTCACAGAGGTCATGGGTATCTGTAACCTGCTGGGGTTTGGGGCTTAGGGTGCAGCGTGCCGCCTTGTAACAGCCTTCATTTGCTTCCCCAGCAGAACACACAGCGGTTAGGTGTCTCCCAAGCGACTCACTCTCTAACCACGCCGGTTGTTTCTGTGGCCACCCCGAGCCTGCTGACACAGGGGCTGCCATTCTCTGCCATGCCGACTGCATACAACACAGGTGAGGGCACTGCGACCGCACCACGGTGGAAGATGTGCCACCTCCTGCACATCACATGCCCTGCACTCCCTGAATGGCTGCAGAGCGTCTCGTGCAGCTCACCGCTGCCAGATGTGGTCAAAGCCAAGAGTTTCACGAGATGAAAACAAAGGGGAAACTCATTATATTAAGAATGGGAACTCGCTGTTGTATCCAGAAAGGCTGTGAGGGCATGGTTCTCATGCCGTAGCCCATTACATGGTGTTGGCAGCATGAAGATGCTTTTAAGTGGATGTTAATTGCAGCTACGCCCATCTCAAGGCTCTCTCGAAAGCTGGAAGTGGTGTTGTAATAGAGGCTTAATGAAAATGAGCGTCAGGGACCCAAAAGTTCAGAAAGAATGCAGACTGTCCTGCTTGTAGGGCTGGTGAGGTGTGTGCTAGCCCAAGGCAACTCCAGCAAAGGGGCTGTTCACCTGCAGCCTACCCAACCCCCCGGGGGCACTGGGGAGTGATGCGGGGATGTTTTCCCGCATCACTCACTTTGGTGTTTGCTCAGAGAAAAATTGGAAAAAATGCAGAAAGCTGCTCGTCTGGAAGAACCCAGGATAGGCGTGCTGGGAACTCCCTCACATAATTAGTAGGTGTAGCCCAGGAGATGCCTGTTTGACTCCTCTCCCTGTGTGGAAGTCGGTGCGGGCCACCAATGAGTCTGGGTGTTGCTAAAGTCCCCAAAATAGGTTTTAATTGGGCCTTGTACTGCTACAAGTCTTGGTGGGGGGTTGGGGGGAGAGAGCTGGTTGTTATCTTTTGGTATTTATTTTCCTCCTGCAGCTTGGCCGCAGGCAGAGAAGCCATTCCCACCCGGGCGCCTGTGGCTGGGATGTCTGAATGCCACAGGGCTGGCAGGGCTCACATTGCTATGGGGTGCAGATGTCTGCACCAAACCCAAGCCCTGGGTGCTGCTCCTTGTTCCTCCCACTTCTAACCTAGGGATATCTCCCCGTGGGGCTGCTGAGGTTACAGGAGCGGCATGCCCTCCCTTGTGCTGCTCAGGGTTGTCAGACCTGGGGGTGTTTGCAGAAGTGGAAGGACCAGTGCTAGTGGGAATTGATACACGGGGTGAGAATGGGGCTGCTGCTGTGCAGGGAGTGCCTGCCATCAGCCTGCCAACATTACTTGCTGCCTTGCAGCCTCCTTTGTGTGCTGCTGTTGCTGGGGTGGGGAAGCTGAAACCACAGGCGCCCAAAATGACAGAGGCAGTGGGGAGGAGTGGGATGAGGGCAGATCAGCATCGAGCATCTGCATCCCTATCAGATGCAGACGTGGCTCTGAGGAAAGGGCTGATCAAAGCTTTGGCCATCTCTTGGAAGAGCAGCTTCCTTCCCTGTACTACATAGCTGAGGAGTTGCCACCTTGGCAACTTGCAGAGTGTTGGGCTGGGTCCTCCTGCTGGGCGGTACAGCTCCTTGCAGTGGGTCCTGCTTCGAGGCAGGCTCCTTGCATCTTTGCTTCCTCCATCCCCTGGGCTCCTATGGGCAGGGAGCGCCATCTGCTGATGCTCAGAAGCCAGTTGTAGTTGTGCAGAAATGGGACTGGGATGCACAGAGTGAGTGGCCCTCCTGCCCCCCTGCTCCTTATGGCCCTGTGGGCAGATGAGAGGCGCACAGGGGGATTTGGCACTGCACCCTCTCTGCCAGCTGCTCAGACTGGCTGTAGGGTGGATACGCAGACTGTAAGGCACTGAATCTGTCACCTTTGCCTCTGTGTGTGCATTTGCACATGTATGTCCGTGGTTGTGTGGTACTGGAGAGAACCAAGGGCACTGCAGTGTTTATATTTTGGACAGTAAAAGCCCTGAAGCTGGAAGAGGTCACCTCCCATGAGCAGCACCTCTATGAAACTGCTGAGTCCCTGAGCTATTCCCCAGAAAGGCACAGCTCTGTTGTACCTCTTAAGTGGGTCTCTATCTTCCTGCAGTGCTCAGGGCTGGATCAGAGAAGCCTTGACATTGAAATGACTGAAGGGCTCCTTCCCTTCCAGATTATCAGCTGACAAGTGCTGAGTTATCTTCACTGCCAGCATTCAGCTCACCTGGTGGGTTGTCCCTTGGCAACATCTCTGCCTGGCAGCAGCAGCAGCAGCAACAACAGCAACAGCAGCAGCAGCAGCAGCAACAACAGCAACAGCAGCAGCAACAACAACAACAGCAGCAGCAGCAGCAGCAGCACCTGGTTCCTGTATCACTAGGAAATTTAATGTAAGTGAAATGAGCTCCAGGGCCACTCAGTTGATGTTACAAATGGTAATAAAATTATGCAGAGGGAACTGGGCACTGCTACCCCAGAGGTGACTGGGAATCCCCAGGCAAGGTCAGGGCTGGGTGCTGCTTTCTGAGAGCCATGGCTTGGAGCTGGCTGCCCACGTGCAGCAGGAGCGTTGCTCCCTTCTGACACAGGAGAGGAAGAGGGCATGGAATAGGCATAGCAGATAAGGGAACTGCTAATAGTGATCCTGCCAGTGTAGGGAAAGTTATTTGTAACATGGGAAATGAATTGCTTTACTCCAAGAAAAAACATCCATGCAGACTCCTGCTGGAGCAGGTATTCTAAAATGGAGCTGGAAATAAAGCATCCCCACTCACAGAGCTTTCTCACAGTATTGCAGTCAAAATAAAGATTAAAGCAACTGCCCTTGGTTGCACTGCAGAACAGACTGCGGAACAGAAAGAAGTAAGGACTGAAAAAACAAGGGAGTTCAGTGGGAGCCCCAAAGTTTCCACGGGAGAAAGCTGCTTGCACCTGCCTCTAGCACAAGTTGCTCAGAGCAGGTTGTGCATTGCCCAGCAGGAGCTCCAGGGCGTGCTCCATCCTGTTGTCAGGAGCTCAAGAGCTCTGCAGTACCCAGACAGCCCCATGCTCTAATGGTTTTGTACAACCATTGGTGAGTCTGAGCACTGCTGAATGCTCTTTGCCTTTAGGGTGCTGTGCTCGGGCGCTGCTCTGGGCTCCAGATGGGGATGCTCCAGATGGGCATCCAGGTGGGGATGAGGTTGGCAGGATCAGGTCCTGGCCTGGCAGGGATGTCGTGGTCACACTGAAGTGTGGGTGATGAATTCTGTAGATGGGCAAAGGGCTGCTGGAACGATGAGTAATGAGAGGCTTCCCATTGTCTCCTCCTCACCTTCCTCCCCTTCCTCCCCTGCTCCCGTGGATGCTCAGACAAGGAAGCCACTTGTCACATACCACCACTTTGACTGTCAACACCAACCCCAACATCAGCATCAAGTCGGAGCCTGTCTCACCCAACCGGGAGCGAAACACTGCCACCCCACTCAGCACCTTCCCCCACCAGCCCCGCCACGAGCCCACCGGCCGCTCGCCTGTCGACAGCCTCAGCAGCAACACCAGCTCCTACGAGGGCAGTGAGCGAGATGATCCCACTCGCACCGACTTCAGCTCCTCCCTGGGGCTGCTGCGCCCTGGTGGTGAGGCCGAGGGGGAGAGCCCTTCAGTGAAACGCATGCGGTTGGATACCTGGGTCACATAACAGGTCCCCATCATCCCCGAGAGTGCCGCTGGCTTACAGCGGGGAGGGGAGGGAGGGAGGATTCTGGGGACAAAACGGGTTTTAGGGGTTGGGGTGGGGAGATTATCATAAACTGCCTGAGAAATAGCTTTAGGATTTTGTAGGCATTCATTCTAGCACAACGGGCGATGCACGCAGTTCGTACAGCTGGGAGCTGTGAGTTCCAGGGTGGATGGCATGGAAGTCAAAGGGAGAGGGATTGGAGCTGGGGGCTGTGGGGCTGCGCTGGAGTAGCGATGCAGGCGCTGAGCATCCCTAAGGGCTACCCTACAGCCTGGGCAGGAGGGGATGGTTCAGTCCCATGGAACAAGGCTGTGTGCTGCAGCATTGCTTGGAGGTGTGGGAGGAACGTGAGACAGGTTTAAGGCTTGATCGTTGCTGTTTGGGTGAGAGGTGGTTGTGGACATCATCATCCTTCCCTGCAGAGAAGGGGGCACCACTGCTACTGGCCACAGTCATCCAAAACCTGCAGCCACCTCTGCTGAGGTCCCCCTGAGTCCTGCAGGGTGCTTGGCTGTGGCAGGGCTGCTTTGGGAGAAACGGTCATTTTACCAAAAAAAATGTTCAAGTGTGTTTAAAATGCATTCCCTGTTCTGTATGGGTCAAAGCTTTAAGTTAGAAGCTAGGAGTAAATCGCTGTTATTTAGGGATTGCCACTGAAATAACATCCTTAGGGATTTTGCCTGAAAGCCTCGGAAGGAGTGAGCTGAACTGTGTAGGATCTCTGCAGCAGCCTCAGCCACCTGGTTCAGTGGAAGGAAAAAGGGCACGAGGGAAGCAGGGGAAGTTCTGGAGCTGTTTTGTGGTGCCGTTTCTGCCCCTGTCTCTGCTCAGGACTGTGAGGACAGTCCTCTGGCCACACCATTCCTCTCCACTGAAGCTTGTGGTTGCAGAATGGCACAGAACCTGCCCCAACACCTAAACTCATCCTGCTTCAGGGCCACAGGAGGTCCCTGGAGGATGGGGGCTATGCATCTGTCTCCTCCCAGAGATTTCGGCAGAATTAGGGGGGTTCCAGCCCAACCTGTTGCAGTGGGGCAGATTGTAATGAAATGAATGTGGGCAAGTTAAGGCGAGCAGTCAGAGGAAGGCCTCCAAAAATTCAGATGGGAGTGAATGGTGATGGCTGTGGAGAGGCAGCACAGAGCCAACGCAGCCCCACATCCCTGTGCAGAGCTGAAAGAGGTGTGCTGGCGGTGATCTCCTGCTGAAGTCCTTTGAAAAGTCCCATTTGCCACCATTTATCTAAAGGCTGATTTAATTCTGAATGCAAAATGTTGGCGTTCCATTCCTATTGCAGCATGCGGGGGGACCCATGTGGGCAGATTCTGTGCCGTGTACCCCAATCCTTCTCTCTCCATCTCAAACCCTGCACGGTGTGCACCAGGCTTCTTGTCCACACCGAGGTGACGTGGATCTGTCCCCACGTCCCAGCTCCGTCCCTCTGTCCCAGCTCTGTCCCTGTGTCCATCCAGGAAGCAGCCACACCACCAGCACCCAGCGGCCCTGCGTGCATTGGACCCACACGGCAGCTCTTTGCACGGCCTCGCTTTGGAAATTAGGTGGGATTGACGATGTCTCATCGCTCTCATTTTCTTTTCTTTTTCCTGACCGTCCTGCAAGAAAAATAACGCCGCAACCAAACGTTTTCCAGCCCCGCAAAGGTGTGGGAGGGCAGCAGCGCGGCGCTTGGAGGGCGATGGAACATTTCTGCTCATTGACTTCATGCCCTGACTTCACATCTCAGAGAGCCAGAAAAAAAGGAAAAAAATACAAAAACAAACAAACAAACAAAAAAAAAACAACCATAAAGCATCACTGCTTTCAGCCATGCGGAGTTGGGCTGCTTGGTGTGCACCAATCCATGCCATGCTGCACCAAGCCGTGCCAAACCGGAGCGCATCCGCAGCAGCGCAGTGCCAGGACTCCACAGTTCAACATTGACACATTGGGTTGGCACATTGGGATTCTCTCCATCCCATCATGAGCTCGGGGTGTCATCATTATGCCCAGGTCATTAATTCCCCATAAGAGTCCAAGAAACTCCTCCTAATTTTCAAAAGACAACGAGAAACGACAATCTTAAGAAACCAACACCCTCCTTCGTGCTTCTATAAATCCGTTCGGATCTTTGCGGTTTTTTTTCTCGTGCTCATCTGTACTGTTGACAGTTACAATTGTGTATAATTTTTTTTTTTTTTTTTAATTTGGAATTTTTGCGTTGTATAGGGTTTAGTTTGAATATATATATATATATTTTCCCATTTTTTTTAAAAAGGGGTGTTGCAAAAAACAAAAAAATACAAAAAAAATTGCACGGTTGAAATGACAATAGTTAAAATGCTGCAGTTTTTAGAGATGTGGAAGCAAAACGGAGCTTATTTATTCTCAAAGGCTATAAAATGCATGAAGAAAAAACATTTACAAAAAAAAAAAAACTGAGCAAAGCATAGCGTTACGAATTGAGGATGGTGACGACGATGGCGACAAAAAAAAAATACAAAAAAAAAAACAAAAACAAACAAACAAAAAAACCAACCAGCTAATATATTGTGTTTGGGCTATAGTTTGCTTTTGTTTTTAATGGTTCCTTTTTTTTTTTTTTTTTTTTTTTGAGAATGAAATACAATTGTGTATATTTTCCTATGAGAAGTACGCACTGATATGTTTCAGAAATGCTATCGTTGCTTTACTGAAAGCGTGGTTGCTTCACCAAAGCCTGGTTCTGATCTGTACCCCCATATCCCCCCCATATCCCCCTCCCTCCCTCCCTACCCCCCCCCCGCTGACCCCACGTTCCCCCCCCATGTGCTCCCATGGCACAGTGGAATATGGGTGGGGGGCACTGGGGGTGTGGGGTGGCGGGCAGCCCTTGGTTGGGCACTGTGTGCTGTGAGGAGCAGCATTGCTCTGCTCTCAGCCCCATAGAGGGGGGATGCTGTCCATGTGCCCCCCTGGGACCTCCAGCACTGGGGAGGATGCTGAGTGCAGGAGGATGGAGGTGAGGAGGTGGGAGGGGAATGCTTTCTCCCCCCTTTTTGCTCCTCCTTCTCATGAAGCTCCCTGCCAAGCAGGGATGTGGCCCAGGGCTCTCCAACCCCCAAACTGACAACACCCCATCACCATCCACCTCTCCCTAGGGGGCTCTGTGGGCTCCTTTCAACCGAAGGTTTCCTCATGTTCCTCTTTCCCATCTTTACACCCCATTCCCTCTTTCCTCCCTTTTCCCCACCTCGCTGTTTCACTTCATTCTTTTTGGACACAGACCCAAACACAAGCGTTGCGTTCTCACTACCTCCGTCCCCGTCCCACAAACCAGAAGCCATGCTGGGTCAGGAGGGCCCTCTCCTGCTGTGCTTTCCTTTCCCCTTCCCCTCTCTGATCTCCCTGGTAGTATTTTACCCCTGGCTACTGTATCTGTAAATAGCGAGCTTCACTATGTCAGCAATGCTAACAGTACAGAAAACTGTTTTTTGGGGGTTTCTTTTTTGTTGTTGTTGTATTGATATGAAATGAGATTCTATTTTTGTCAGAGTATATTGTAATAATACTGACCTTGGGCATGGCCGAGCTGTGCAGCTGCTTTGTTCCACCCCGGCTCTCCTTGCACCCTGTAAAGGTTTTGGGTTCTGCTGCAGGGAACGTCCAGAGATGCCAACTGGGAGCAGAAACCCATGGGAACTTCTTGGCCCCATTCTCTGAGATCCATGCGGGGCGGCGGAGAGAGGAAATTTTGGTTTGGATTGAGGGTGAAATTTCACAGCAACCCTGGCTGGACCTGGCAGTGTGGCTCCTTGCAGGCAGTTTGCAGGCAAATAGGACCTGAAATCAGAAGAGGGAGGGGGGGGGGGAGGTGAGGGGAGGGGGGTACAGCGGCTGTGCCGCAGCAGTTTCCCTTCAGTCCCTGGGTGCTTTTAGCATCGTGTGTTCATTCTTCCCCATCCCCTTTGTTCCCCCCCGAACCCTAGCTAGCTCTTATCCCAGCCCTGACCCTAAGCCTTACCCTAAGCCTAAGCCTAACCCTATAATCCTAACCTTAACCCTACCCTAACCCTGTAACCCTTACCCTCTAGCCCTATAACCCTTACCCTTACCCTAGCCCTAACCCTATAATCTTTACTCTCACCCTAACCCTATAACCCTTGTCCTCTAGCTCTATAACCCTATAACCCTTACCCTAACCCTAATCCTATAATCCTTACCCTCACCGTAACCCTATAACCCTTACCCTATAACCCTATAACCCTTACCCTAGCCCTAATCCTATAACCCTTACCCTCACCCTAACTCTATAACACTTACCTTTACCCTAACCCTGTAACCCTAACCCTATAACGCATATCCTTAACCCTATAACCGTCACCCTATAACCCTTACCCTTACCCTAAGCCTAGCCCTATAACTCTTACCTTTACCCTAACCCTATAACCTTAACCCTCACCCTATACTCCTTACCCTAACCCTTTAACCCTTACCTTTTCCCTAACCCTATAAGCCTCACCCCAACCCACAGCCCCAGCATTGCAGGTAGGCAGTAGCATACTGTGGGGTGCCTGCAACAACTTTGTAAGCTAGAACAAACCCTTTAAATGATGCACTAAGGAATAAAAACACCACCCCCCC